TTACATAAATTAGAAAAAGGAGAGGACCTAGGACTGAACCCTGTGGAACGCCCCATCTTACTGTAACCTCATTTGACCATTGTCCATTAACCAGCACAGTTTGCTTCCGATTACTAAGATACGATTGAAAGAAATCTAGTGTTACTCCTCGGAATCCATAATAATTTAATTTTGTGTTTAATTTATCTCGATCCACGCAATCAAATGCTTTACTAAGGTCGCATAATGTGACCTGAGCTAAATTTTTACTTTCAAATGCCGATATATTATTTTTCTTACTAAGCTATCTAGAGCATCAACAGTGGATTTATTCCTTCTAAAACCAAACTGATGGTTACTCAATATATTGTTGTTTTCTAAAAAAGTATAAATTTGTTCATAAATTAATATTTCTATTAGTTTTCCAATAACAGGTATGACCGATACTGGTCGATAACTGTTTGGTTGGTCTTTTGGACCTCTTTTGTAGATGGGACGGACTCTACAAATTTTAAGAATATTTGGAAAAATCCCTTTATTTAACAGGCAGTTTATACAGTAGGCAAGAGGCTCTGCCAAACTATGTACAGTACTATGTTTTTCAATAAATTATTTGATAAATTATAAATGTCACGACTATCTGATCTATTCATCTTTTTAGCTGCGTTTAAGACATCTCTAGGTGTGATTTGCTGCCAAGAGAAGGTGATGAGACTGTCAATGTTTCTTCTGTTTAGAAACTTAGAGCTTGATTGACTATTTATATTAGGGCTATTCCCAATTTCCTTTTTAATTTCATCAACACAGTTGATAAAATAACTATTAAAGGTTTCAGACTCAATTTGAGTCACAGAGGTGTTTTTGGGCTCTGTATATTTTTTAATAATGTTCCATGCAGCTTTGCACTTATTTTTACTTTTTTCTATATACTTAACGTTATTTGCCAATTTAGCACTTTTTACAGCGGATATATAACACTTTTTCATTTCTTTGTACTTAATATTGAGATCAACATTGGTGTTATTGTTAGGTGAACTTACCACTCTGCTTAGAAACAAAAGCCTATCCTTCACAACAGCCAGATCCTCAGTATACCAATTTTGTTTATTGTATCTTGGTTTAGGTTTACATTTATCTATTTGCATGTAATAATATAAATTGTTCAATATAACATTAAAAACAAATTCAAACATATTCTCTGATTTATCCTCATCAAAATTAGATAATAAAGAGTTCCAATCATAGCATGCAAGCCTATTTGTCAGAGCCGGAATATTTTTATGAGGCAAATAGAGTTTACATTGGTTTACTATCCACTGACTCTCTTTTTGATCACCTTTATTAAAGCATTTTGTCTTATTGAGGTTTACTAAGATACCATCGTGATCCGAGTAAGGAAATTTAAAAATATTTGAAAATGTAATTTTAGCAGATTTTTTATGAACAAACACATTGTCGAGGCAGTTTTGGCCTCTAGTGGCTTCTTTGTTTAAATGGTAGAAGTCATATTGTTTTAGTAAATTTATTAGTTGTGATGTTTTAGTATTCTTTGTTATATCAAATTTAACATTAAAGTCCCCTCCAATAATAATATTGCAATCAGCCCATTGGGTAATGAATGACAATAATTGATCAAAAATATGTAGAAACACAAGGGGATCTCCACTTGTTGAATGATAGACTGTTATTATTAAGGTTTTAAACTTGTCAATAAATAATGCTGATGACTCAAAATTTAACTCTTCACAATAATCGGTTATGTTAAAATGCCTTGAAGTAATTTCATTGAGTAGAAATATAGCAACACCACCTCTTATGTGACGAGTTCTACAGAAACTTCCAGCACAGTAAAAGTTATCAGGAGATGTCAACTTAATTTTATCTTCTGAGAGCCAATGTTCAGTTATGCACAATATCTGTATTTTTGAATCTAGAATAAACTTATCTAGGGCCAAAAGTTTGTCAAAATTTAGGCCTTGTACATTCAAGTAAAGTATGTTAAGGTTTTCAGAGATATTTATTGGGTTTATCAAATGTTGAGAGTGGCATTTTTGGTACAGAGGAAGGCTACTATAAACTATAGACTTTACAGGTGAATACTGACTAAATACAAGACTTGACACTGGTAAGATCTGAGGATGAGGGGATACTAACACTTTTGCCACACACACTGCTTATTTCAGAGACCTCATGCACATCACCACTGACCACATCACTTTCACCGTTGGCTATTTCAATGGATGCTGCTGGTAGCTGGTTTGGGGCTGTTGGGCTTGATGTTGATGCCAATGACTCCGTTGAAGGGACTCCGACTTCAGCAACAGGGGCAGGAGACTGTGTTTTCAAAGAATCTGATGTTTCAAGAGTGTAGTAGTCATCCTCATTTTGGGTTGTAGGTAACAGGTTCTTGATTTTGTTAATGAATTTTTCATGAGATAAGCCATTTCTCAACTCTCTGTGTGACTGTTGAGGGTATGATACGATAGTGATATCAGCTTCTGTCTCTTGTTGAAAGTTAATCAAGTTTGCAATGAAATCTTCCAATTTTACTTTGTCACGCACACATCCAATCGGGGAGCATATAAGATGGTGGAAGCGCCTCTTTTTGAAATCATTCTTCAGGTGTTGAAAGGCCATGTTATAGTCCCAACTGTTAGGTTTGCCGTAGTATTTGTTTTTTGTTATGAGACTGTAGACAGATGCTTCATGTCTGCTGTTTTGTAGAGCCAAATATTTATTAAGGCGTTGGGAGATACTTGGTTTGCCAAAGAGGGTTTTAAAAACTACCGCAACTCCTGCGGACATATGGCGAGGGTCGTGAAAATCTACCGATATGCTATGGGCAAAAGCCACATTATGGTCTGTCTTGTGTTCCTCTATTACCTTTGACATGTGCTTATCGGTGACAAAGATTTTCGGTTTGTCAATATAATTATTGCTAACTTGATCGTTTTGACCGGTGGTCATTTTTACCATTTGGTTTGTGATTAATTCAACCACTTTATTTTTTCCTGTATCATTTAAATGAAGGCCTTGATTTGTAAAATGGTATCTTCTTAGGTGATCCAGATCTACTATGTATACAGACTTCAGCCGAGCTCCCAGTTCTCTGATGTAGTTGTTAACCAGAATGATATCATTGTGTATTGGATGTGTTTTATGCAGGTCATGTCTTGTTGGAATCGTGGTCAAGATTACTGGTTTGGTTTGACTTAGTTTAATTAGGCTTTCTTCTAACGATGAAAATATGTTAGATGTGTCAGCCCGTAATGTATCATTGGTTCCTCCAATAATAGCAATTATGTCATCCTTACAGTGCATTGCAGTTTCAGCAACCTGCAGAAGACATGCATTAGGCATTACTGAACCTATTACTAGGAATTTATTTGGATTACACTTTTCTATTTTAGGGCCAACACTTCTTCCTTGACTGTCTGAGTATACAGATATTTTGATCCTACTATCCTCTTGCCGTTTCAAGTGGTTCTTGCTGCAATCTGGGTGAAGTATTTTTAGATGTCTTGTTTTTGTGAATGTTATTTTTGTGGTTCTGAATGAGTCTACTACGGTTCTTGGTCAGTTGACTTCCAGGCTGGACAATTTCCTGTGTAATTGACTCACAACTGTGTACCATGGCAGTTGGACTTTTCAGGTTTACTTTCAACAGACTGTCAAACAAAAGGTGAAGTAATATATCTTGCTTTAAATGTATGAAAGAATTATTGTGTGTTATTAATGCCAGTTTTGCTCTTTCACGCATGTTGGAGGTTAGTGTTTTTCAAGGAGTCAAAGTAGTAAAACACATTTTGGAGCACATCCCACAGCAACAGACTCCAATGTGTTCCTGAACCTCCAACTGCTTGAATGTTTGATGAATCATTAATTGGAATGAAAACTAACTTTTTGCTATTAAGATTTTGTGGTTGAAGGATGTCTGTATAATCGTTGAGAGTTTTTATGGCCACTGCGATGACGGGATTAAGAAAAAATATGTTTTTATGGACAGAAGTATCATTTAAAATATCAAATATAATCCTAATTGTGTCGTCAGTGATCCACTTGGACTCCAGTAGTGAAAGAGTAGTATTTTCCTTTGTTTCTGCTTCTTTTGACGTTTTGGAACTATCTTCAAATGCAGATATTGGGGTTGATGTGATTGTCTGTAAGCTGGATCCTGTAGGACTGCTTGGTGTGGAAGTAACTTCGGAAATGTCGAGGGTTAAATTGGACATACTGATCTTACTTAGTTGGCGGCTGTCACAATTTTTGGGCTTTGAGTCATTCTTCAGTTCCATGCTGCTGTTAAAACTAAGTTAAAACTTCAAAGCATTATTAAAAAGAGCATTTTTTACTTTAGGTATTCCATGTATCGATTTATTCTCCAGGAATAAACAAATATAATTTTCCTTGACTAAACCGATCTCTTTAGTGCCATAGAATACCACTTTGTACTTCTTAATTTTATCCTTGGACCTATCAAACTCATTAATGACAGCAGGCCAGTATGGATGACCCCTTATTTTGGCAAAAACCCTATCACCTATTTTAAACTTATTTTTACTGTCCATGAAGTGAAAATAAATTTACAGTCTCTACTCACTGTTTGAAACCAGTTTTGTAGTCTTGTAATTTGAATTTATAGATGTGTATATAAATATAATATTAACACAGCTTGATTAACAGTGTCCCAATGTTATATTATTTATTTTTCCATCCATCCCAATTTATTAAAATATATATTCAACCTAGAAAATTTACATTTATATCGAAAATAGATAAAAATATATATATATATTTGATAGAATAATATAAATTATTTGTTAATTTTCATTGCCGTAACAAACAATATAAATAACAACAGCAGATATTTATTCAGAGAATGAAGTTGTAAAAAAGTGTCTAACAGATTAGGAAAGTAGGATTCACTCAATTAGTGAAGCTGAAAGGTCAGTTCCTCAGAATGATCAATGCAGCTGATAAGAGCTTTGCCGATTCTGCTGAGGCATGAAACAAACCCAAGCATGTTTCCTTGGTTCAACAGGTTTCACTGATGCTTTGAGTTCGGTGGTAGCTATCTCTTCTGTTCGAAAATACTAGTTTATTAATTTTGCAGTCTTTTCTTGAAGAGAAAGATTTTTTACTCAGTAATTAGTATTAGAAAAAATAGTGCTTCAGTTAATAAGTGAATAACTATGCCAATTTAATAGTTTAACCTGTTTGATAGTGTCACTGTGAAGTGGTGTTGCAGGCCTAGCACAACAGCTTGGAAAATTGTTTTCAGTATTTTATCACTATTCCGGCACTTCTTTCATGAATTTACTACTTACAAATGTCCCTGTAAGGCTGAATATTGGGTATGTAATACTTTTAAGACTTAGAAAGTACTTATTGATTAAAAAATTTGATTTTAGTGCACTGGGTTTATAACTCTTGCTTACATCTTAAATAGTCAAATCACCAAAAACAATAAAACAATAAGAAACAATAAGAACAATAAAACTATATTCACTATTTTTATCTCACGTTTTCACAAGTTCAATTGAGGACTACTGGTCTAATTGAGTTACATGGGTGACCGAAATTTACGTAACAAACTCATCGTAAACCGACTGATTCTGACCAATTTTGGGTTTTCATTGTTTGTTAGATATTAGATGACAAAAGTTGTAAGAGAATAACAGTTTTGTAAAATTGACTTAACACTTGAACCAATAAAGACAATTTTATTTTATTTAGTAGACTCTTTAAGGAAAGTTTTTTTTTACAATGGTATAACAAAAAGCACAAAGGTATTATAATAATTTTGTTTAGATAAAATAGCTTGATTGACTGTTGTATTGTATATTTATTTTATGAATTGTATCAGTCGTTTGCGCAACACTGGATGTCTCGTCAAGGCAAGGAGAGAGCCGAGGCGAGACCCGGGGCTTGTATCTAGCGAAATTTCAAGCCCCAAGATCCTAACATCGATATATAACTTTGAGCGCCAGAGAGAAACCGGTTTTATGAGTCGACTGTCAATCAAGAGTGAGGACGGCACTACTTTTGCTAGTAGTGCAACGTACTGTTGTCAGTGCCGACACCACTTCCTGTGTCGGGTAGTTTTAGTTCCAACTCGCCCCGTTCGCAGCGTTAGTGTCAGCGAAGATTTTTAATCTGACTCCAACGCCCTCTTAAATCATAATATTTAAGTGAAATATAGCTATCTTCAAGTCAATTTTTGTCACAAGTCAGCTATTTTAGAAACCAAGTCAATCCGATTCTTTAAGACATGGCTCAATTGATGACATGATATGTTCAATCTGAACAGTAGATTTTTGTTACAATTGGTTCTTTTAGAAACTGAGTCACGTCTCAATTCTTCACCTGATTCGTTCAATCTGAACTGAACTGCCAATTTGTGTTGCAAGTCAGTTATTTTATAACCGAGTTATGACTTAATTCAGAACAAAATTGATTGTATCGTGACTGGTTTTAATTCCTTAAATGATCAGTAAGGAGTTTGGTACTTAATTTTACATGACTTTGGACAGTATTTATAATACTTAATGATAATTATCTACTGTTGATGGTATTAGTAAAAATAACAAGTATTGTACCAGGAACGCTTTAATATAGTTTCTAAATTATTTTTCTTTCACCGGTGCTTCATTTAACTTTTGTTTGTATAATCATAATTACACTGACGATCTAATTTTTTCTAAATATTGAAAGTTTCCTCGCTTTTTTAGATATTTCAACTTTTTAAGATCAGGAAGGTTTTTATGCAAGCAAAAAGTATAGTTTTAATTTCTAAAATTCTGTTGGATGCTACTTATTGTTAAATAAAAATTTGTTGATAAATGATTGTTTTAATACCTGTTTATATTGTAAGTAAGTAAAAATAAATCTTATGGTTTTTAAGTCCATTAAAAACCTTAGCAATATGGGAACGCTCCTGAATGCCAGGTAAAATAAATATGACCACTAATAATATGAATATGATAAACCTGATATAAATAAATATGATATAATATGGACACTCCTGCATCACAATTCATATTATTTAAGCGATTACATGTTTTTGGTTTGTAATAAAACTATTTTTGTAAATGATAAAATGTGTGTGATCATGATATTATTTTGACTGTTTAACCCAATTAACTAAAACCTCTTTTCATGAGTGTGATATATCCAATTAGGATTGATTACATTTAAGCATGATGATAAGAAGAGACAATCGTAGTTTACACATGAACTTTATTGTCTTATTTGGTTACAAAATTTAAATGTAGTGAAATAACAAATAATGCATAACCAAACACACTCCAAAAATACTGTCTTCAACTGATCCGTATATAATAATAATAAAACTGCAAGGGAGTGTATTTATCTATGTTTAAAGACCTGGTTTTAGCTGGGCTATATGGATCGAATGTAAACTTCAGTTAAGTGTATGGTAAAATTTCAATTTAGGTTTTACCATAGACTAACCAACACAAATAGACTTCTCATCCCATTGTAAATTTTGAAGCACGTTTATCGTGTCTAGTTCATGTACGTGACACATGGGCGCTAGTGTCGACGAAACTTTGTTTCTATTATTTTAGGGTTAATTTCTTGATTTCTGCTTTACTGTTTGGTTATATAACTAGGAGACAAGTTATTGTTTATGATTAGATTGTATTATTTGGTTAAACGAGGTTTTAAATGGCTCTAATAACGGGAAACAAATTGTAAACAAAACACGACCTCTACATAAACCGTACAGAACTAACAATAAAATTGTCTTCAGCTGTTCCATAAGGATGAGAAATCTACTAAGGGAGTATGTTTTATCTATGGTTTTACTTTTGAATAGACATTGCATCCTTATGTTAAAAGCTGTACCCCAGTTTTGGAATGTTTTATTTGCATGGAACATTTGCTACAGCTGGGTTAATAGATGGATGTTTACCATAGTATGGTAAACATCAATAAAAGCATAAATAAACAGTCAGCTGTATCTTGTTTGTAAATCTGTCATCAAAAGATAACCTCTTGCCATACCCTAAACAGAGGTACATTAATAGTTTAACATATTAATTCTTGGCTGACTAGACAAAATGTTTAATGTAATTGAATCTCAGTGTGATGTTTTATATCAGATGAGTTGTTGCTTGAAGACTAAGTGAGAAATGAACACCTTTTTAAGATCCGTGGTGAGAAGATTCTCTTCTCTGGCAGATAAAGAACCTGTTAACGATGGAATATCTTCGTTAAAGATCGGTGTTATCGGTGTTCCATTCAGCAAAGGTCAGGTAAGAATATTTAACATTCAGAGTTATAACAGTAAACTGCCACAGTTAACATTTGGCTGATTCTACAGCATGATTATGTAAAAAGGAAGTAGGACTAATTTAAACCTGAGCCATGGTGTTTAGAATAACAACAGTTGGGGAAAATTTCCCAATAAACCTATAAATTCAACAGTTTTTAAAACTTTGAATTTATGTAATTCTTCACATTTTTTTATTATGAATCTGGTCACATTGATTTAATTCCATAGAAATTACGTAGGTTGGCAAAAAAATTACTTGAAATTACAGTGAAATTACTTTGGCAAACCTTAAGTCACAGAAACAAATTATTTTTTCAAACAGCATCACACAATTGTAACTGTGTGTTATTTTTGCAGTTATCTAATAACATGTTTTCTGAATCCATCTAGCATTATAAGTGCTAGTAAAGTGAATTTTTATTTCAGACCAATGAAGGTGTTAGAAAAGGACCTCAGGTTATCCGTGAGGGAGGAGTTTTGAAGGAATTGAATGCTTTGGGTAAAAAAAGTTGCATTGAATCTTTTTAGGAGTACCTTACAGTATTCACAAATTTATGTCATTGTATGTTCAAAATTAGTATATTGTTTTCATAGTTATTTATCATTGATCAATTATTACTTTATATACAAGGGCTATCCGTAAACTATAAGGTCCCCATCAGCTCATGTATAACCAAGCAAGCTAGTTAAAATCTTAAGACCATCTTCCTTAATATTTCGCCCCATGGCCATTCTACTTTCTTCTGAAGAGGCCCCTTGTAGAGGGGAAATATCAAGTTTATTGTGTTGTGAACTTTCTTCATGCTAACTACCTGGAACTCTTTTCTTAGATAAGATAGTTATGTATCCAATATCCTTCTTCCTTAATGATGTAGAGATTAGTTATTAAAAGTATCTATGTAATTAGAATCTGAATCAGAATCTTGCAGCGATTTAGTGTAAAACCCTCTAAAATTTATCCTACAACATTCAATATTTCCGTTGTGTTTACACAGGTCATAATGTGAGGGACTACGGTGATATAACGTACAAGTTCAGCCATGATCAGGTACAAAACACCTCCAACAGCTCTCATGTCAAGAACATGAAGGACTTGGAGGATGTGGCTGCATGCAACAGGGAAGTAAGGACAGTAGAGCTACATGGAATAATTGTTTGATAATTGAAAAGAGTGTAATGTCCAATAGAGGTGCTATCCTCAGTGAATTCTAAGACATGTTTAGGGTTTAGAATGATGTCCTTAAAATTTATAGTATTCTCTCTTAGAAAAATGCTACTGGTGTTTAAACTAAAAAAATATACCTCAAACCTAAGATCTATCGTTTCAAATTATTTGGTGAGTAAAGCTTAAGGTGAAGTAAAGACCCATGGGTCGTTAAATTTCCATTGATGATTGGCAAGACGTTAATTTTAGAAAAACTTAACTTATTACAAAACGATAACCAACAAAAACATATTGTTATCGGCTGACTAATTTTCAACTTTTAACTTAACGTGAGCTGCTTAGGTCAACAACCACTTGTAATATGCATTATCAAATGACTTTTTCAGGTTAGTAAGAAGGTTCAGGAGATTCTAGCAGAAGATAGTCAAGTATTGGTTCTCGGAGGAGATCACAGTGTTTGTATCGGCTCGGCGGACGGATTCATACAGAAGTACGGAGATATTGGCCTCATCTACGTGGACGCCCATGCTGACCTTAACACAGCTGATACTTCGCCTTCAGGGAATGTACACGGTATGACAGTAAGTACAACTTGTCCTTTACTAACCTAGGGATGACGTTTATAATTTTAGCCGTAATGGGTAGAGAAGGTGGTTCAGATTAAAGCAGGCTTACATAGCATCACATTTTATGGTCAGTACACTTTGCAGCCTACTCAACAACAGAGAATGTATTTCTAGACATTTCCGCAAAGAGCTGTATCTCGGCCACCTTTAACCCCAGGCCGCAGCCTGGTATAATAGGCAACGTTACAAGTAGTGTGGTCTAGTGCCAGACGTCCCATAAGATAACATGGCAGACAGATGATACCAGCTCATTGATCTGTGTACTATTCATTTAAATTTTATTAAAAGATTGAAAATAAAACCTATAGAATTAAAATATACTAGAGGCCGTCCAGTGGTCGAAACTCGACCAAAAATATACTTCTTAATTTTTATCCCACACTGTGAATAAAACATGTGATTGGAGTTTCTTTCATTTGTTTTGATTTTCTATTTATATTTCGATGTTATTTCGTCACCAGCATGGCAACCAATAACATCCATGTTAATTTATTCAAGATTTTAAATTCATTTTCTTGAGCTTATTTTGAGCCTATTTTAATTTATAAAAGGATTCTGCACTATTAGTTTTTAAAGGGTTTTAAGTTTAGTTTTAAGGCAGTGATTAGGTTATAGTAAAACACCATTTTACTTGAGAAGATAGTCTCTAATTTCTACTAGCAGAGTTGCCAACATTACAACAGTGAAAAAAAAATACATTTTTACATTACACAGAGATAACTATTACATAGGCCTAAATTGATAACATATAGCCTAACAATAGTTTATCCAACACACTCCCTTAATGTACAAATGTTTTTTTTTTTTTACAAATACAGAAAAATAGTGTTATTTTATTAGAACATGATATTATTTTACATAAGAAATTGTTAAGTACCTATCATGTTAACAAATTATAAGTATAAAATTGACTGTAGGCTGTTTATTTATTTTTCTCTAAAAAAATATTTGCCATTTAAAAATAGTATGCTAAGTAGCCTGTATGATTTGTGTAGGCTAAATTATGTCTTTACACATTACTTAATAGCTGACTTGTAAACTTTGAAAATTTTGTGCTGGACAAAGGTTTTGTGAATATGTCAGCCAATTGGTCCTCTGAGCAGCAGTACTTTAAGTCAAATAGTTTGGCATGAAATTGTTCGCTCACAAAGTGAAATCTCACATCAATATGCTTACTCTTTCTGTTCATTTGACCTGATTTGATGAGTTTTATGGCACTTTGATTATCAACATTCAGGGTGGTTTTCACAGTTTTTTCGGTCAGTTCTGTGATTAGAGTCTTGATGTATTTTATTTCCTTGCAACATTCAGCTGCAGATATGTACTCAGCTTCAGCTGTTGATAGAGCAGTTATTGGTTGTTTTTTTTTAACTCCATACAATTGGTGCACTTCCTAACAGCAGGACATATCCGCTTGTACTTTTTCTATCCTTTACATCTCCTGCGTAGTCTGAGTCACAGTACGCTTGAATACTTAGGTCTTTAGAACTTGTTGAAGGAAAAAATATTCCTTTGTTTTTTGTTCCTTTGAGGTATCTCAAAGTTCTCTTGATGTTTTGGACATCCTTTTTTCTCGGATTTTCGGTAGAGCGGCTTTCAAAATTAACTGCAAATGTCATGTCTGGTCTAGTTTTATTAGTCATGTAGAGAAGGCTTCCTATAGCTTCTCTATAAGGAAAGTTAGTTTTTCCATCTTCATCAACAATCTTAGTCTGTTCTTCTAAGGGAGTAGATACTGACTTACACTCTGTCATATTAAAGTTGTTGAGTACTTGATTTGCATAGTTTGTTTGACTGAGATAGATGCCTTCCTTTTTCCTGGTTATTTCCATTCCAATATACATATTTGGATTCTTGTTAATTGTCATCTCAAAATTAGTTCTGAGTTTTTCTAGCAGGTCTTTAAGTTTATTTTGATTTTTCGCCATTAAGATGCCGTCGTCAACATGAATAGCCAAACAAAGTTCATTTTTAATATCCTTAAACAGGCATTGATCGGTTTTGAGCTGTATTAGTCCTTCATCTTTCAGAAATGAGGTTAACTTCTTATTCCACTGACTTGGAGCTTGTTTTAAACCATAGAGGGCTTTCTTGAGTTTGCAAATTTTCCCTTGTTCCTTAAATCCTTCTGGTATCTTCATATAAATATCATTCTCAATTTCCCCATACAGGAAAGCAGTCTTTACATCGAAAGTTTGGATATGTAAGTTTTCTTGAGCAGCTAGTGAGAAAAGAATTCTTAAAGAAGCACTTTCCACAACTGGACTGAAAGTATCTCTAAAGTCCAAATTTCCTTTCTTCTGTTCACAGCCTCGAACTACTAAACGGGCTTTATATGTCCCATCCTCTTTAATTTTAAACACCCATCTACTTGTTAGTATTTCATCATTTTCATTCAGTTGTTTTTCATCTATTATTTCCCAAGTCTCATTCTTCTCTAAGGATTGTTTTTCTTTCTTAATGGCCAATTCCCATTTTTCTTTATCGCTACTAGACATACATTCATTGTACGTCAGCAGAACTTGGCCGTTTTCATATTCTTCTTCATATCTTGAAGGTCGTTTCATATTTATTCTTGGTCGCAGATTGTAGTGTCGTTCATTTTCAATTTCTTCATTTATATCAGGCCTTCCAATATTTTCTTCTTCTAGGTTTGCACCTAGTTGGTTTTCTTGATCTTCTTGAGTTTCATTCATGTGTTCTTCTCTTTCTTCATCTTCTGCAGTTTGTGTACAATCTTCATCAGAAAAATTATTTTGCATCTGTTTTATTTTAATTTGTTCAGAGTTTGCATCTTTGAAAATCACATCTCTAGAGATAAATATTTTTCTTTTTTCAGGATCCCACAATCGATAGCCGTTCATTGCATATCCGACAAAAATAGCTTCTTTACTTCTTGCTTCCAATTTCTTTAAATAGCCTAAGACTTTTGCATAGGCTACTGTGCCAAATATTTGAAGTCTTGAAAGGTCAGGTTTTCTGTCGTACCATTTTTCAGCAGGTGTTGTATCTAGGTTAACAGTAGGGCTTCTATTAAGTAGGTATGCAGATGTTAAAATAGCCTCGCCCCACATTTCTTTATGTAGATTAGAGTCAAAAATCATCGCTCGAGCCTTTTCCATTAATGTGCGATTCATTCTTTCGGCTGTTCCGTTGAGCTGGGGTGAATAAGGTACTGTGTAGTCTATGACAATTCCTTTGGATTTGCAATACTCTTTCAGACCACTGGCAACATACTCACCACCATTGTCGCACCTTATTTTAGAAATTTTAAGATTGAAATGAGCTTCTGCTTCATTTACATATTCTTTTAGGTAGCTAAACACTTCACTTTTACTTTTTAATAGATACACCTTACAAAAATGAGAGAAATCATCAATAACAGTTAAAAAATACTTTTTACCATCGTGAGTCAAGGGTTCAATCGGACCGCAAAGATCAGAATGTATCAGTTTTAAAGGTCTAGAAGCTTTTACTCTAGATGTATTGAAAGGATTCCTTACTTGCTTAGATTTAATACAAATATCACAAAATTCATCTTCACACATATAAACATCAGTTGGAATGCCATTAGTAATTTTTGTCAACTTTTTCATATACGGAAAACTGATATGACCTAACTTTCTATGCCATTCTAAAGCTACTTCATTACGTGTAGTAGGGCTAGTTTTTGACTTTATGATTACCGGTACATTGGTTTGTTTTTGGATAGGTTTTACACTTTCTGTATCAAAAGGTTTAGGCCTACATTCATTTTGATCAAATTTGCTTAGGCCTACAGTAGCGACTTCATTTACACTTTCCGTTAACTGAACTACATACAAACCACTTTTATTTTTACACCCTTCTAAAATGATAGACTTATCTTTGAGAACTTGTACCTTGTTTTTTGTGAATAATACTTCGCCACCGTTTTCGGTAATTGCATTGACAGACATTAGGTTATTACTTAACTCTGGTAGGCCTACATAAGAAACATTTTTTAGTGTACATTGGTCAGAGTCAACATTTCCTACAGCAATTTGCTGCATGCTTTGATTTTTCTTTGCAACAGAAATACTTTTAGTACATGATTTTACATTTTCTAAGATAGAAATATCATTTGTCATGTGATTAGGGGTACAACCACTATCAATAATGAAAGATTTGGTATTAACGCTATCGCATAGGTTAACACAATAGCCTAGTTGTGTAGACTTGTTTGTTGGCAGATTTACATGACTCAGAAAAGATGTTTTACAGTCATCTTTAGGTTTAAATTTAGATTTGTTACGGAAAAAGCAATTCTTTTCAGAATGGTTAGTTTTCTTACATATATTGCATGCTTTAGGCTGCTTATTTTTCAAAAAACATTCACTTTCTACATGATTAGGTTTCTTACAGTATGAACAAAATTTTGATTTTAGGCCTACGTTAGGACAGTTTTGACGAATGTGTCCTGATTCCTTACAAGAATAACATGTTACAACTCTAGGCCTACCTTGAGATTTGGTTTTAAAAGCTACTTGCTCACAGTCACTCACGGTCTTCGCCTCTTCTTGCAACAGTCTAGCCTTCAGGTTCTCGAGGGTTTTCTCGGTTGCACTGGTAGAATCCCACGCACTGGAGAAATGTTTATATTGGTCTGGAAGGATACTCAGGATCTTTGTGAGTAGCATCGTGTCGTCCACTTTTTGGTCAAGTCTGTTAAGCTTAAAAGCAATGTTCTGTATGTAGGCTATGTTTGACATCATGTCCTTTTGAAGATCGAATTTGAAGTTGTAGAATTCTTGCAATAAAGAACACTTTTGCTGTGTCGTATCTCTTTGAAAAAGGCGTTTTAAAGTGTCGTACATTTGTTTGGAAGTGTCACAAGTGACTACATGCATTTTAACTGATTGGTCTATAGTCATTATTATGATGTGTTGTGCTTTTGCATCTAATGACTTCCAAGCCTTCTTTTTCTTATCATCTTCTTGATTATCCAAAGTTTCTGTTCCATCAACAATATCCCAGAGATTTTTGGACTTAAAAAGAATTTTAACCTCGAAGTCCCACATGGTGTACGATTCGACGTCCTTGAGTTTGCCGACATTGTTCAGTTCACTTTCACTCCCGGAACTCATGATAACTTTATTCCTCTTTTTCACAATGGTTTTAATGTTTTTATGGTTTTACTATATATCTGGCCCCATAACCTATTAGTTTTTAAAGGGTTTTAAGTTTAGTTTTAAGGCAGTGATTAGGTTATAGTAAAACACCATTTTACTTGAGAAGATAGTCTCTAATTTCTACTAGCAGAGTTGCCAACATTACAACAGTGAAAAAAAAATACATTTTTACATTACACAGAGATAACTATTACATAGGCCTAAATTGATAACATATAGCCTAACAATAGTTTATCCAACATGCACATCTACAGGTAAATATCTTTCCAACAGTATGCGTAGATTTTCGCTGCGATGCACACGAGCTGAGAAAAAAGGTTTTAAAGAAACATGCTTGCCTATTAATATATAGATATTGTCGGGACCACGTAAGTTTGCAGTTGGTGGCAGCCAATCACAAAACGAGGCTAGTGCGACGTTGCCACATCACCCATTGACAACACTAAAAATATACAAAGCTATATTTTCAAATCAGCTGGTATTGTTAGATTTGGCAACACCACACCGTTCTCATTGGTTCATTGAAAACCATATGGTAAATAGGCTCCTCCCTCAACTGCAAACTTATGTGGTCCCGACAATAGATATTTATTTAAATTTAAAATATATTTTTGCACATTTCAAGTGAAGTCAATATTTTTAGCCCTTACACCAAGCTTTTGTATTCTTAAAAAAACAAATCACACAAATACCATTAGCTGCCTCCAAACAAAACAGCTGTTACAACACTACTTGCGATGTTACCTTACAAAGGCCGCAGCCTGGAGTTAAATGTGGCCGTGGCTGTACACAGTGCTCAAAATTCATAGCTAAGAAAATCCAGCTTAATCCAGTAAAAGCTTAATCCAGTCTTAGTTGTCTATGAGATTTGAATCGATTCTCTTACCTCATTCAGGGTTGTGCAATGTGCAGTCCTAAAGTAAATGGTGTTAGTGTTTTTTAGACTTCCCACATTTCCTACATTGGTTGCCCCCATTGTAGATTCTCAAGCAATTAAGGTATTTTCTAATGAAGGTGGCCTATTATCATTCCTCTAATCTGTCTTTGGTGCCTGGTTCCTTCTGTCTAGTTATATATAGGAGAAGGAAAGGAGTTCAGGGTTCAGGGAGACCCCAAACGGAAATTGCCACCTAAAACTCAGGGCTACAGATATGTAGCCCTGCCCAAAACTAGAACTCTAAAATTTTGGTTGAAAACACTTTGGTTCTCCATTTACTATGTATAGGGGGAGAAAGTCAAAAAATCTGGGATGTTGAAAAAAGGATGAACAAATTTTGCACTCTTTACTTCTGTATTTAAGTGTACCATTACTTTTTACAATAATTTGCATTTATTTGATTAATGTTCTTATATGTTCCTATTGCTGACAATTTGCACAACCAGTACCTCCTATGTCAACATGATCGTGCATTTGTATTTGTGTTTATACAATAATAAATGTTGATTTGATTTGTTTGATTATACAATATTGTTCTAGGTGGCACTCCTTGTAAAAGAACTCTACGATTATTGGCCTTACCTGCCTGGAATGGACTGGCAAAAACCTGTGTAAGTACGCTACTTATTTGACTTTAATTTAGCTTTAGCTTTTTTAATTTAGTTTCTTAAAATAATTTATGTTTGTGAGCTAAATTTTACGTTCAAAAAAATGTTCAGGAGCCCTGAAATATTACAAACCGACACAAGGATTGTAAATGTTTGGTTATGGAAAACATGTAAAACAAACAAGCGTTCCTTTTACGTTCTTTTAACATTCCTTTTAACGGAAATATCTTTGCTTTTGCTGACATTGCTCTTTTTTACACACAAAACGATTTGATGTTGATGGAAAATTTAATAAACGATGATCTTTTACTTTTAAGAAATTGGTGTTTGATCAATAGAATGCAGGTAAATGTAAACAAAACCAAATTTGTTAATTTCCACTCAACCGGTTTTGAATTGCCATCTCCTTTAATTTTTCACTCCTCAAATTGCAGTCCACAACTATGTAATTGCCAGCCGTTAGAAAAAGTAAAATCTATAAAATATTTAGGAGTTCTACTCGATGAAAAAGTCACCTTCGAACCTCATATATTAAATCTACATGCTAAGATACGAACACAAATAAGAAAATTTTATTTTTTAAGAAATTTTTTTAACGAATCACTTTTGAGAACATTATACTTTGCACTAATCAACTCAAGATTGCAATATGCCTTGCCATCCTGGGGAGGAACTTATAAAACCTTGATAAATAGATTAAGAACAACACAAAACTTTTTTATGCGGATAATTTTGAAACAACCTAAAAGAACAAGTTCATTTCCACTCTACCAACAGTTAAAAATTTTGCCCATACAGCACCTTTTTGTTTTCAAAGTTCTTAGACAGGTTTTTTGTTCGAAGTGGAAACAGAGTTAACGTCATACCAAATATTACACACACATACATAACAAGAAGCATTACCAATAATACTCTGAAACTACCCAAAGTAAATAAAGCTATTTTTCGTCACTCTTTTCAATATCTAGGTCCAAAATACTATAATTATCTACCACTTCAAATAAAGAATAGTTTAAATTTAAAGCAGTTTAGCAAAGCAACGATAATTTGGCTTTCTTCTCAGCAGGATATAAATTATATCAATAATATCCTGTTGTAATAACTTTCATTGTTTATTAAAACAGTTCTTGTTTTGTCCATCAGATGCACAGTTCAGGCGGAATTCAATGTTTTATAACAGATGCTAGACCATAAATTACAACGTCATGTTAGACGATAAGTTAGTATAAGCAAACTGGTTACACTACTGGATCAAGTAGCCAGTCATATTTCTCTACATCTGATGTATTGTTACATTGTGGTTTTTTGTGGGAAATAAACTTCATTATTCATTATTCATTATTCATTTTGTAATAATTATTGAAGTCAGAAAACTCAGTACGTTTTATATAGAGACATCCATGAAAAAATGTAAATACGGTTTTACGAGATAAAATTGGTCAGAACTTATAGGATATGAACCGGATATAAGTTTGTAGGCAGTGGCGGATCTAGAGGGGGGGCGAAGGGGGAGACCGTCCCTCCCTCGGGCATACATATACATATATTTTTTACTGCATGTAATACAGTAGTGCATACAAATTGCGTAAAATAATTTGTCACACTTACTTTGGACAAAGAAATGGTATAAAACTGCCATTTTGGAGACTTAGTTTACACAAACTTTTCGGAGGGGTACCCCCGGTCCCCCAAACCCCCTTGTCCCCCCCCCCCCCATGTGACTGTTCTAGATCCGCCACTGTTTGTAGGATCCTCAATAGTATAAATTTCAATATTAAAAATTTATTTTATTTAGTTTCATATTGTGTTTTATTTCCATGGGACGAGAAAAAATTACTTGTTTTTAAGTTTGCGTGGCGTTGTATGAGTGGTTATACTCAGGGATGATTTTAGGGTATATAATGTTGTTTACAATTTTGAATTAAAGGTTTTTAAGGATTCAATACAATTAATTACTTTGGTACATTTTTATCTAATATAACCCTGAAACTTTTTTAAATGTCTAGATCCTTATATTTATGGATTTTTTAAATGTAATTTTGTCTCTTTCAGATTGCCTGTGAAGAACATTGCCTACATCGGTCTTCGTTCTGTAGATAAGTATGAAAGGTTTGTATGGGATAACATACATATATAGACATAGTTTATAAATCAATAATTTTTTAGGTTACAGTGTTCTATTATAACTACACCTTTTTTAGTTTCCACTATATTAACACGTTGACTGCTGAAAACAACGTAAAGGCACTCACCCGTGGCGGGCGAAGACCCGGCGCGCCACCGAATCAGCAAACGCAATTGGCATTCAAATATTTCAGTCTGACGAATCACAAAAGAGCAGTGGTGATTGTGCTGCGTTACCCCGAGAGTGGAAGTAGTACTTACATAGTTCACTGAAACACCCAAATGTAGCAGCACTGCCTGAATCCGTAGCCAGTGTCTTTGTAATGTGGGCCGGAGAGAGAAAATCAGAGAAACCGGTACAAAAGCATTGCCAGACGGGACTTTACAGGAAACTTTAGTACAAACCTACACCAAAATAAAGCTCACATTCTAAGCTACAGGCTTGCAACGATTATAACGGATTCTGTCTGAGGCTAAGCTCATACTGACTCAATAAATTTCAGATGGTCTGGAGCCGACTTATGTTGGCGTGTGCCGCATTGAAGCGCTAGTGACGCCGACTAAAGTCGGCTTTAGTAGTCAACGTGTTAACTGTCTATAAAAGTACGTTTTGGCCTATTTTTGTGCATTATATTTTTTGCAGAGTTATTTTAGACAAGTTCTCAATCCCTGCTTACGGAATGGCTGAAGTAGAGAAGTATGGAATAGACAAAGTAACGGAGATGGTGCTTGATCAGGTGGACCCCAAAGGGAACCGAGCTTTACAAGTGAGCTTTGACATTGATTCATTGGATGTTTTGGAAGCCCCTTCCACTGGGTGTTCAGGTAAGTTAAAGCCCATGTTTTACTTACACAATTTCTGCCAGACAGCTCAAACACAACATTAGTTCCAAGGACATTTTTTGGTGCAAAAACACCATCGTCAGCTGAAGGTACATGTGAAGTGGCTCAGTTTGGAAACCTCATCATGTGGGATTCGAAGAATCACAGGTTCTCTTCCAGAAAATGTGTTCTAAAAACAAATTAAAACTGTTTCTTCTCTTTATTTATGCCTTTTTGTCACCCCACCTACATGAGTATTCACGCCTGGGGTCAGTGGCAGTCCCAGGGAGTGTAGGATGGAAGAAATATACATTCCCCCCCCCCCCCAAAAATATTTTATATTTTATTAGCTAACATAAATACTATTAGCTTGAGCATATTTTAGAGCTCAAATATGTATAAAAATATGTTTTTAGGCTTTAAATTCTACATTTGGATATTCCATACCCCCCCTCCCCCCAGACAAAAAACAATCTCCCCTCCCCCGCCGGCTTGATGGTCATCCCCCCTCCCCCCGAAATAAAATCTGGGTCCGCCACTGCCTGGGGTAGTCTTCTTACTACAAGATGATATGCAATGTTCTTATAAACAATATGCCGGTCTTCCTAACCAGGATATCTTTGTATATAGAAAATTAAAACATTTTTGGGTGGGTGGGAGGTGAAAGATATTTACTTTACAATCAATTAATGAGATTCTATCGTCTATTCAAAATGGGATTGTTTCTGGTGAGTTATCCAGTGAACAATCTGTTATTTGAAACTGAGGTTTAACAAATTGTTCTACTCATAATTGTATTTATTTTTATTATTATGGTTAATTTGTCTCAAAATTATGTTGTAAGTTTATAATTTACAATAATTTTTCTCAACAGTTTGTGGAGGATTAACTCTGAGGGAAGGAATTCATATATTGGAAATTGTCCACCAAACTGGCAGGATGAAAGTTATGGATTTAGTAGAAGTGAATCCAAATATTGGGTCAGAAAGGGATGTGAAAAAGACAGTTGATGCTGCACTTCACTTAATCAAAGCAGCATATGGATTTTCACGACTCGGAAATGTTCCCAGACATATCAAAGATATACCCACTTACAACAGTTTCCAACCAAGTAAATAATTTTCTTATAGTGATTTACTATTTTGTAAATAAACTTGAAATATTCTGTGTATGTGGTTTATTATTTTCCTGAAGCTAATGGCAATAAAATAATAGATTGGTAATTTGGTATATAGGTAGGCCTACACCTTGTGCATCCTGGTGGATTATAATGCATCCTGGTTTTCTGCTATGATACTGGTAGGAATATTTTTTCGTTGGTAGTGACGTTTCTGTGACCATGGGAGAATATGTCTACAAACGGCCGCGAGGGATGATCAGAATATTGCCGCGATCACAGAAGACGGTGATTAAGTTCACAGGACCGCGGGAAAAAGCAAGAATTGTCCCGCGATCGCAGAAGACGATGATGATCTCCACATGACTGCGGGCGGGATTTAACATTTTTCCGCAATCGCAGGAGACGATTGCGATGTCTTTACGACCGCGGGAGACGATTACGATGTCTACAGGACCGTGGGAGATACAATAATGATTTCTATTGGCCGCGAGGGATGATCAGATTTATGCCACGATTGCGCAAGACAATGATAATGGCCACATGATCACGGGAAAAGATAAGAATTTTTCCTCATTTGCGGAAGACGATTATCTCCATATGACCGCGGGTATAATATCAATTTGCCGCAATCGTGGGAGGTGATTACTATGTCCACACGACAGCGGGTGGGGGGGGGGGGCATTATAATGTTGACTGGAGTCTAAACCATTGCTTTATCATCACGATGTTGTCCCCTGGCACTGCGGGGTGGGGGAAGGACAATTTTTATTTCAGCTGCAGTTTTTTAATACGGACAAATGAGAGCATTCTATTGGCTGAGGGAACACCATTACCGCAACGATACGGTTTGAAGCCAACGGCCTCGGTAGATCTAAAGGATAGGATAACTTGCCGGGCTGAGAAACTCAGGTTCGAGGTTCAAATCATATCGGTGCGCTAACTTTTTGTCTAAGATTTTTGCATTATCTCAGGAAGTTTGGTTAGGTTAAGACAGTTTAATTTTACAATTAAACCATAAAAAAATTGAATTTGAGCGATTATAGTGTTGGATCTATTTTTTTTTAGATGAAATTGAATTTAAGGCATTTAACTATTTTTTCGATTGTTAAACCTTCATTCGATTTTTATTTTAAATATTTTTTATATAAACAGCAAGTTTGGTTGGTTAGGTTAGGGCTAGTTTATGACAGTTTAATTTTATAATAAAAAAATATATTTTATAAAGTTTTATTTTTTAACTCTCATTTCGTCCTTATTGAAAAACTGCAATATAGGTTATGTTATGTATGTAAAACAACACCAGCTTGTTTGGGCGCCGTTTAGAGGAAGAGGGGAGGTGGGAGGGAGAATCATTTCCCCCACTCCGCAGCGCCAGGGGACAACATTTCGATGATGCAGCGAAGGTTTAGACTCCAGTTATAAATAAAGTTGTCTTCACGGCCGCGAGGGGTGATCAGAACTTGACCAACGACCGCGATCGCGCAAGACTACGATAGTCGCGATCATAGAAGATGATAACTATGTCCACACGACCGCAGAAAATAGTGCGAATTTTTCCACAAATGCGGAACACTATTAGGCCTACGATGTCTACACGACCGCGAGGGATTATCAGAGATGATTAGTTGATTACAACGGTCGCAAGCAAATACAAGCACCATTCCTTTTATTTTCCAAATTTTTGGTGCCCCTAAAAACCAATTGCCTAGTGCCCTATAGGCACGTGCCTATTCGATAAATCGGCCCTGACTAACCTAACATAACCATGCCAAACTTGACTGGGACGGGTGGCGTCGTCCTGTAATCCAGCTACTAGGAGGTCACGAATTGTGGATATTTATAGGCATGCACTGTGGATTCGATACTCCCCAGTGTGAATTAACGACGTCCGCACGGGTGAGTACTACGACTATCCGCAGTACTATCCTGATAATTAGACCAATTCGTAATTACCAAGGCAAAAATGTGGTTCGGATTCCACTATAAACTGTAGATCCCTTAGTTGCCATTAGCTGCGTATGGGCTATTAATTAACAGCTGTGTCTAAGGAATTTCGGCCTTAGTCACTAACAAGACTACAAAATCGCGCCACTCATCTCCATTCATACTTGACTTAAAATACCTACTTTGTCGCCATTTCATAGAACAGTATTAAACAGTACCATTTACAAATTCCGTTTAATAACAGTAAAGGCAAAGAGGAGGATACTAAACGTAATTTTCAAATGTTACAGAAAGCTAGGTTAGGTAGAACAGTTTCATTTCAATATATTTTTTTAAATTATTGTTTTTTGATACTGAACAATATTTATTTATCGTAGTTGTCATCGATAACAATGAATGCTCCCTTTGACAGGATCTTTTTACCGATATTTATTAGGCATCGATACTTTTCTTAAGCCATCCCGCTGTCCCGTTTCCAGACGGATGACAAAATAAAGAAGCGTTCGGCCACGGCTACCTTTAAAGAGAGTTAAAGGAGGCCGTGGTTACCAAAATTGGCGGGGGTTGTTGTTGAACTGTTGAGGAGAAGTTATCGTGAACTAACACAAATCACAATATGTTTATAAGAGTTTTTTTTCACGGCCGCCTTTAACTCCAGGCAAGGCCCCACTAGAAAACACGGCTACCTTTAAAGAGAGTTAAAGGAGGCCGTGATTCGGCGGCTAAAATTGGCGGGGGTTGTTGTTGAACTGTTGAGGAGAAGTTATCGTAAACTTAACACAAATCACGCCACCTTTAACTCCAGGCAAGGCCCCACTAGAAAACACGGCTACCTTTAAAGAGAGTTAAAGGAGGCCGTGGTTCGGCGGCCAAAAATGGCGGGGGTTGTTGTTGAACTGTTGAAGAGAAGTTATCGTGAACTACCACAAATCACAATATGTTTATAAGAGTTGTTTTTTCACGGCCGCCTTTAACTCCAGGCCGCGACCTTCGATGAGGCAACGTCGCAAGTGGTGTTGTAACAGCTGTTTTGTTTGGTATCAGCTATTTCTGTATTTACGAAAGATTGGCTACTGGATTATGACAATATTGACTCCACTAATAAATGTACATATAGATTTTTATCGTTTCGTCTTTCAATTCTGTAAGTTTTTTTTTCAATATTTAAAAAAATGTATGTTCATAAATTTAAATCAATAAAGTGCGAATCATTGAGCTGATGTCACCTGTCTGCCATGTTATCTTATGGAATGGATTCAATTACAGAATTGAAAACCGAAATGAATAAAAAAAATCCATATCCTTACATTTTTAAACGGAGTCAATATTGTCATAGTCCAGTAACCAATCTTTCGTAAATACAACAATAATTTTATTAGCTCATTCCAAACAAAACAGCTGTTGCAACACCAATTGCGACGTTGCCACTTCGAAGGCCGCGGCCTGGAGTTCTAACCAACGAGCACGTGTACTCGATGGTTCTAACGGCCGTTTCCGTTCTAACGGCCACGCTTCTCAGCGGCCGTTCCTGAGGCCCTATTTTTGATGAAATGGTTGAGAGTTGAGTCAATCGTCAACAACACTCAACTCAACCAACAACAGGATTTGAAATTTTTGAAATCCAACAGTTGAGAAGTGAGTTGGCAATCACTAGTTGGTGACTCGTTTGGAAATGAAAGCGGCAACACCGCACGAAATACAGATGACGTCATTTTGAATTGAACCAATCACAGTTCTGAGCTCAGCTAACCTTTCACGTTACGAACGGGCTCTTTCTGAGGTTTGGTTTAATGGTTGACAGTCAGTTTAGTTGAGTCAATCGTCAACGTCAACCAACACTCAACATAAACAACAGTCAACAGGATTTGGTATTTTAGATACTGGAACCTCCCGCTCTAGGTACATCCTTTTCCGTTTCCCGACGCGGGTCCATAACGATTTGGCATTTTGGCTAGTGTAAACGCTATGAGTTCATATCAAAGTGGGAAATTGTCAGAGAGGCAACGGGATTTTCTCATATCTTTTTTAGAAGAAAACCCGAAGTTGGCAAAAAATCAAATTGACGCTAATTTCACCAGAGAAATTGCTAACAAAATGTGGCAAGATGCTACTAAACAGCTCAACAGTCTCGGTGGAGCATTCAAGACTGTGAAGCAATGGAAAAGGGTAAGTAATAATTGGGCTAATTTATCTGCATTAACGAGAAAATAGGCAAATACTAAGTTAAGCACCACTAGATACAAGAATGATTTTAACAAAAAAGTAAGCTCTCGGTTTCTTAAAAAAATATTTTACCACTAAGTTTAACTTAGGCCTTTAAACTTGATGATCATGAAAATTGTTTCAGTTTGTGTTACCGTTTTAATCATAGTCCTAGTTTAAAGATGGGCTATGATAAGCCTAAGCTAACTTATTTAAAGCTTAAATATTCTCAAAAGGCTTAAGTTATTGTAACAGTGCCATTAGGACTAGTTTTCAAAATAGGCTATGATAAAAACTTCTCAATAGGCTGTTTAATAGTGCCATTTTATACATAATTATAGGCCTACCTTAGAAATCAGAAATCAGAAATCAGAAACTTTTTATTGCCGTAATTTGCAAGGTACATGCATATGACAAAGTCAACAACAAATGAGGTTCAAGTTCAACCAAGAAAATAAAACTAGATCCGGTAAAACATGAATAGACAAAACATTTGTCTGGGCAGTCATAATAGATCAAAAAATAAAAATGTAGCTATGCAAGCATCGAGCCTATCAGAAACAAGACAGTAAAAATAGAAGTAAAATCTACCAGAAATCTTATGTTCCCAGTAAAACTTAGTTAATTAAGTAAACCTACCTAACTTAAGTTAAAATAGGCCTAACTCATGTGATTTGTTTGTGCGAGTGGGATGATGAACACCAATTTTGTTTTAACTTATAACAGAAACTTATTTTAAATAGGTTCATATAAGTTACTGTAGCCTACATACATACATAGGGCCTACAGCTGACTTAATATTAGTCAAATCCACATATAAATGTAGACAACTTATCCTACTGTAATGAAAAACATACATTGGGGCCGCACACATGTGACACGCGAGCAGTTCGTGGCGCATGTGCCTATGCTCACAACGCACTTGCGAGGCACTGCCGCCAGGCCTTCGAGCATCGTCAGAAGTGTGCAAGTTCGTGACGATGCGTGCCAGTCTGTGGGTAACCGAGGTTGGCGTACATGTTTGCAAACTAGCAGCAATATCGCTGCGTTTAAATCGTGAACGTTTTATTTTTTGCGTTTAAATTCATTTCATATTGTACTAGGTCTGCGCCTGCGTGGAGAGGCTGGCGGCCTCTTTTAACCTTGCATTTGCCCGTCCACATAGACTACAGATCTGTGCGTGGAACGTATCCAGCAAAGCAAGGGGTGAGCCGGTACAGTACAAAGGTGAACTGTACTGATAAAAGTTAGTGGCAGTGACCAGGATCCGAACCCACGACACTACTGCCTTGGGCCCAAAGTCCACGACGCTACCTACTGAGCCACCGACTCACCATTTGTTCTCATTTGATTTGTTCTTATTTGTTTGGTTATTTAAACTTAGGGTACTTCTTTGTTGCGCGGTTAAGATGTCCCTCAATTACCAAAGAAATTTTTGGTCTGAGTTTATTGACCAAAAATAAACTTTAAAGATATACTTTATAGAACTCGGTTAAGCTTTATAGATCGAGACGTGTTTGTGGGATGTGAAAAGTGTAAACTTTTCAAACAAATATTTGCAAAAAGAAAGTATGGAACTATTAATAACAAAATGCAAGGAAGTGTTTCCCGACAGTGATGAAAGACTAAAATTCATTCTTTGAGATCTTCATATCGAGCTAACATCATGTCGAGGTGAACTAAAAAAAGCTTCTTCAATTTAAATTTACAACCTTTATAGGCCTACTCTAAATAAGTGCCTTAAATTCCTTAGTTCTCACTCTTTTTGGTCTCATAAACATATTGTAAACCCAAAAACCATAATACACTAATAACTCAGCCATTGATTTATTTAAATATGACCACGTCTGATGTTTTATTTGAAGGCAAATTTCATTCTATATGATTTATTTAGCTAGGATATGCACATTTAGTAGGACTTTGCTAACTACTAAAAATGGCCCTTAGGCATGTGGCTGCAGTGTGTGGTGACATATGCCTCGAACCGCTCGCTGTCACCCCACCACGAGCCATGCAAGGCACATGCACCCTAGTGTTTGGGCCGCTTAACTCTCAAGTCCCATCCTTTTCCACTTTTCAACGAGTTGAATTGTCAGCATAATCTTATCTTAATTCCATTGCTCCTAAGCAACATTCATTTTTAATTTTCTACCAAAAGTCTCCTTAGATAAGTACTTGTACCTTATGTGTTAAAAAGTTTCACATAAAAATAGCTTACTTACCTTTAAGCAGTTCCCCTTACATTGGTCAAGTTACTTGACTCGAGTCTAATTGGACAAGCAAACTTCGAAACTTGAGTGAACTTTCCCCGTGTAAACCCTTGTTCAAGTAGTTAATTGCTTGTTCATGTAAAAATTAACTTCAATTATCAACTTGATTCAAGTGGTAAGTACAAATTGAACATGTTTAATTTTTCAGTCAAGTTGAATGCACTTTAATAAAGAGTGTAAACCCACAGTCAAATCCGATCAAGAAATAAACCAAACATTCAAGTGCCCCACTTGAATTCAAGGTAGCGAAAATCGTTCTTTTAGCGAATTTCCCATAGGGAATAAGCTACAGTATTACCGTAGTAGGCCTACTCATGGTAAGACCTCTAGACCCGGGACCGATTTACTTTTTCGTTTTGAGGTCTCTAGAGGCCAAAAACACTGTCCGTTCAAATTCATATGTATATATTAATTTATAGGTAGAAAGAACCGTGGCGTCCCCATCTCCATGATTGACAATTGATAATAATTGATAATTGATAACAAGACTCTCATGGTGATTATAAAATAAGTCTGGTTATCAAGGTTGACTTCTTATTGATGTTTTGCAATAACATGGTTTAAGTTAGAGGTCAAATAAATTCAAGAGGATTTGTAAAATACACTTGTTACCAAGAAAGACTTGTTATCAAGGGTCTTCTTATCGAGGTTCCACTGTAGTAAATAAAGTAAAACTGAGCACCCTGAATATTATATTTTTAATATAAGTTACATGTTTCGGACATAAGTCCGTTTGCAAACTTCAAATAACACTAAGTAAAATTTGAAGTTCTTCAAATAACTTACTTAACTTTTTTAAATGCTGAAATATTAAACAGCAACGAGTGTTAAGCAGCTCAACACTTGGCTTTATTGAGTTACAACTGTATTCAGTTGATTGGCACTAGCACATTATAAATTATATTAATTGCCTTAATAAACTATAAATCATGTAATATTGTACTGTAAGTAGATTAAAAAAATGTTTAATATCTTTATAGTAAAATATGGTTACTTTGATAACCCTAAAATCGGTCAAAGCTTCAGAGATCCTGCAATTTGTATCATTATTATCTCCTTTCTCTAGCCTACCTAATCATGTTGTAGCATTAAAGTCTGTTACAAAACCCATGTTTACCCGTATAGTACCTAATATTAGGGCAGAAAATGGACTAATAATGTATACCGGTAGGCCTAATCAATAATATTAATAATCTAAATCTTGTTGATCAATACCCGGCTATTACTTAAAAACTTAACTCAAAATCTGTTGGATTTATAATTTATAGACATGGACTGATCTAAAAATCGCCAGCAGAAAAAAGGCAGCCAACTTGAGGAAGCATAGCTTGAAAACTAGTGGAGGGCCAGATTCATCTTCCTTGGAAGACGATGACACCGATCAAACGGCTATGCCTGGAACCAGTGAAGAACCCGCAGCCTCTATGCCAGCAACTGAGAGAGTGCTATTCCTCCTTGATGACACAACTGCTTTGGAAGGAATCGGAGGGATAATGGAAATAGGGGTAAGAAAAATAAACAAATATTATTCACTCATTTTTTTGTCTTAAAAACTTATTACCAAGTCCAATGACTGAGGGTTTGTTACTTTTACTTTCTCAATTCAAAAAGGTGAAAACATTACACCCTATACTATTTACTACGATATCGGCAACATGCCCAAGATTGAACTTTTAATTTGATATTTTAAATGTTACAAAAAAATTTACATTAATTTGAAAGTTTTTTTAAGTAGGCCTAATTCTTTAAAATTGTAAATAAGATTTTCAAGCAAGTGATTTCTTAACAGAAACTTTTCTATTTCAAGGAAGAGCAGTGTTTTTTCTATATAGGCCTAGGAATTATTTTTAAAAATTAAAAATAGTTTTATAAGTTATATCATTTAGAGTTGAAACACATTTATAAAATAAATAAATCTGAGAGTTGCATAGTTGGTATTAATGAAAATGAGAGGCAGGGCAGTATTTCCCTAACAACGGTTTCTGGGGGCCTCACTTGGGCCCATTTTTATTTTTGAATTTTTCTTGATAAATTTATTTTACCGATAATCTGTTTTGCCATGATTTGTGGGAGACGTTTATGAAATCTGCGCAACCGCAAAAGATCTCCACTATTTCGCCGTTAACGTAGGAGTTGTTGTGTAGGAGTTGTTGTAACGTAGGATGTTGTGACGGAGGAGTTAATGTAGGATTCATCCGCAATCGCAGAAAATGTCCAGGGTTTTATTGCAACCACGGGAGTCGAAGATCATGTCCCCGCAAACGCAGAAGATCTTCACGATTCTTCACAATCGGAGGAGACGAAGATGATGTTTCCGCACTTGCGCAAGATGTTAACTCTTTCAATTCGATTAAAAAATCTTTATTTTATGCAACATCATGCTAAATATTTCACCTCCTCTTGTGCACACGTACGTGCGAAGAAATCTTTATGTACCTGTATTGTTACTGGCAGAGTCTATTCACTGTTAATAACAATACACAAATACAATAACTAATCATGGAATTTAAGCTTACAACAATGACGGAGCGATTTTTTTATTTTACTAGATAACCTGTTGCTCGAAACCGAGCAAAACTGCAGGCTGTAATAAAAGAATAACCAGTAAAAAAATAAACAGCAAGACTTAATCAAAGAGTCACTCTAAAGTAATTTCTGTCTGATTATAGAAATATGAAAATTATAATGTTGTAAAAAAATTATAAAAGTAGTACAGTATATACAATATTTAAATGTAGATCTGCTCTCGTAATGCTTTGGCTATCTCTTATGTAATGTAGGCGGTTGCCATCTATGAGAACGTATATGTCAACCACACACTGTAAAGTGAGTTTTTCAGACTTTTTGTAGCAAGCTAAATCGCTCTCTTGACACCAACCAGTACGACCCGTTCTATAGCATTGTTAAATTATTTGTACCACCTGTATGTCCTGTTTTTAGGCTTTTTTAAATTAGGGGCGCCAACGAAAGTCTCCGATTGGGAACATAAGAGGGTAAGCAAGTGGATCTAACGACGGATCTAGAACGGATTCGCGTTTAACATTATTAGTTTTTGGAAAAAGACCTAAGATTTATTTGGCCAGGTGGTGCTCTGTTTTCAGCTTTAAAAATAGCTGCGACATTTATTTAAGTAGCATAAGTAAGCACATGAATCTCACTTGACTCCTCTGACCTTTCGTCCCTACACATTTCCGCCACAGTTATTAAAGATTAGGCAAATAGTTTGGCAATGTGACCCTATTCCCGCATATTTTTTTATGGCATTTTTTGTTTGAATTGTGTTTCAAGCGCTGTTGGGTTCCAGTGCCAACGTCGTACTCAACTATACCTACATCTGTGCGGGTTCACGATGACCTTCTAAAGGAATTAGATTATTTACTCGGAGATAACACATGTCATGGATCTTTAAATTGTAGATGCCCTGTGTGATCCTCTCATATAAATGAGCTTCAGAGCAGACCATGGCAAAGGCAAAATTGAATTGACGAATTCTATCCAAATAAATTCTAGATCAAAGCCTCGCAGCCCTGTTTTCAGATTGGGAGTTTCCAATAAGTTCCTGAAAGTATAGTGAATTCTGCAGATGAGGTAAACGGATCTTTCATTTATGGTAACAATGAGTGAAAATTTAACTGCTTCGGTCGTCTTTCCGTTGCTTAAAATGTAAGCCACCACAATGTAAAGATTTAACGTTCATTTGTCTGAGGAGATGTATCCATGATGTATCACCACGGTGGTACTGCCACTCTGTATCCTTCAAAATGTTCCATTGGTAGGTTGATGCAAGCGGTCACGTCCGCGTTCCCTCCAGCCACTCACAGTTCTTCATCTTACTGGTGGCTTAATTTTAAATTGAGATAAAATACGGAAGTTAAACAAACAACAGAAAACACTATAACGGAATTTTGATATACATTGTAAATTACGTGATACGGTAATGCAACGGGTGGGTAACTGCACTGTGAATAATCACTTTCAAACATTCACTTATTCATCACACCGAACTGTAACCGAAACTACATGATAATTCAGCAAAATAACAAGCAAGTTAGATGAATTCAAATATTATGAAAAATTTGTTATCAAGTTTTGCTAGGAAACTATTTTATGAACCAGACTTATTTAACAGATGTTTAAATGAAAATATGTATTCCGGCTTTGCTCTGTAAGTTTTAAGTCCTGCAGTCTGTGGTTAACCCTTAACCTTAAAAACTATTTCAAACTACGTCCATATGTTATTTGTAAACAAAGGGAAATGACTTTGATCAAATGTCAACAGATAGCGCCGCCTTCCAAACTTTAGCCCTTAAGTGTACTTAAGCGATGCCCTTTCTTAATATTCTGAGACGTATTTGCACATCTACGTGAAAATACTTTTAATTTGACACCTCAAACAACTTAAAAATCCATCAAGCCGTTATTGAGTTATGACTGTGAAAAGAAAACTGCTTGCGTATTAATATATAGATTTTTATTTTTTATCCTACTAATAATATTATAAATGCGAAAGTTTGAATGTATGTATGTTTGTGACTAGTAAACGCGAAAAACACTGGTCAGATTGGGCTGAAATTTGGCTTGATGATAGCTCACAATCCCGATTAACATATGGCATATTGTTATCTCAAAACTACTTTCCGGCTCCGCCCCAGTGGCTCTGAAGTTTCCCATGTTAACCTTATGGGTATTCACATTTAAAAGGAATTAAAAGGAATTAGGGTTACTTTGTCAACTGATTCGACCAAACAAGTTGGTTCTATGATATTCAGTAGCATTAAAAAGTTAATAGGTTTACCTTTTAGCTGAATCAAAAAGCTGTTATACAAAATGAGAACTGTCAGAGTAGGATATACTATACTATATCTGCAATACTATAGTATACAGTAAATATAAAGAATCAAATTCTTTCAAGCCTTTTCCTCCCCTATTTCAAACCCAAAGCTAGAATATAACTGCAATAAGCTTTTTATACTTATACGCCAACCCCGTACGAAGAACGGGTACTCTGCTAGTAATTTATAAACAAACAAACAAACAAACAAAAACATGCAACAATGAACAATAAAAACACTAATGCTTTAACAAGGGAAAAGGTTGTTTAAATTTCTATGAATCTATATCTATAAAAGAGGAACTATGTATGTATGTATGTGTGTGTGTATATACGTTATGGACTCTGAAACTGCTCGACAGATTTTAATGAAACTTTCAGGAATTATTAAGCATCTGTCAAGGATGGTTCGGGTGAAGTTTGGTGCAGATCCGTCAAAAGGGCTCTGCCCCAAAGGGTTTTAAGTGGGCCAATGTCAGACTTTTTGATCTACAATGTTTACAAATAAATATAATTTAAAAGCAGATGTTTACTTTCACCAACTGTTTTGTAGGTTTGAATAATCACAACATTCTGTATTAGCATTAGTCACGATTTGAAATAGTGCCACAGTGTTTCTACAGAGTGCAGCACAGAAAACTATTTTACTTTAGAATAAGTCCAAATGTATTAAACCCCAATCGCAGCACACCTGTGCACTTAACAACGTTTAAATTCTCCAATGTTAAAAAATAAAAACCTTTATCAAAGTATTATAAACAATAAAAAGGATGCTTTTTTTAAATTTATGACAACAGCTAATTTGCAACCAAAAGGTGAGTGAGGGTAGCAAACGAACATCAACCTGGAGGCGAGTTAGCGTAGCGAACGAGCTTCAACCAGGACGTGATTGAGCCATGCGAACATATATGAAGTTACTAAATTGAAATTTTACCTTTGTCATCCAGCTCCTGATATTATTATCAACTTGTTACAGCCGTTTCAGCATCACTGTGCCATCGTCGGACTGTTCAGCCAAAAGGCGTCGTTAAAACACAAAAATATTTACACGAAACACACACATATTTGTCAAAACGGGGTTTTGACAAATATGCAAGTAGCTGACTCAGCCGAGTCAGCTACTTGCTCAAGTTCGGGAATGTACTATCCTCAACAGGCCTGTTTTCAAAACCCCGTTTTGACAAATATGTGTGTGTTTCGTGTAAATGTTTTTGTGTTTTAACGACGCCTTTTGGCTGAACAGTCCGACGATGGCACAGTGATGCTGAAACGGCCGTAACAAGTTGATAATAATATCAGGAGCTGGATGACAAAGGTAAAATTTCAATTTAGTTATAGAACCAGCTCAGGGGCTAGAAAATATGGATTATAATATATGAAGTTAAACGGGGCAAAGCCCGCGGGTACAGCTAGTTATATAGTTATTTGTGTAACTAGTGGGCAAAGTGGCACTTTGCTGCACACGAGAGCAATGTTTACACACGAGTGTGGAATGATCTTGAGTGCAGCAAAGGCCTTTTGCACTCGTGTTACACATTATATTTTTCCTACAGTCTTTATAAAGCATATAAATAATTAGTCTTTCAAACTATATACAACACGTTTTAAGGTTAGGTTAAACCCAAGCCATGAACGGAATAGGAAATTCAGCTGATTGTAGTTGTAATATCTTTAAGTGTTACTTATTTTCAAGATTACAGGTATAAACAGTAATAATCAGTATAAAAACATAATAAACAAGTAGATTGTTCTTCAAAATATGGCAATAAAACATTTTCTGACAGTTTTGTAACTTTATTACTTACTCGCCAAAGAGGAAATTAAACAGTTTGTATGCTCGTTCATACTTCATTCTTGATTTTTCAGGTAACAGGTTTAATGAAACATGTTTTCAGTTTCTGTTAGTTCTGTTCCACCATGATATTCACAATTACTTTCACTGAGTACATTATTTTTAAACATGTTAGGCCCACTTATAATTCATCTTTCAAATACTACACTTCAGGTTGTCTTCAAACCAAAACGTTGAACGAAAATAGAACATAAACTATAAACACGAAATGACAGGTTAAATCGTAGTTATAATAGTCAATCAGCTGCGATCATAGTATTATTATCTTTAAGTGTTGCCAACCTATTTCTAAGCGTACACGGATTATGTGCATAATAAAACCACGCTGTTTTGTGTTGTTTGGTTAAAATCCTGTTGTGCGCCAAAGTATAAACCGTACGACAAAGTATAAACCGTATGACAAAGTATAAATATGTAGCAATTAGCAGCTTTCTGTACTACAAACAGTACAAGGAAGCCAACTTTGTCGGGTGACTGTAGGCAAAATATTTTACAAAGTTCTTAATTTTTTTCTTAACACTAGTTACATTATAGGAACTATTTTAAAAGGTTAATAATTGTTTCGGAAAATTTATTGAACATCATAACTAATGAGTAGCACAACTGCTCAACAACAACTCTTTTTCCACAGCCACATGAGTCCTTCATGGTTCCGCCGCAAGCGGAGGAGACAAACATGATGTCTCCACGTCCGCGCAAGATGCTAACTATTTCACCGTGGCCATAGGATACGTTCATGATTCCACTGTGATCGGAGGAGACGAAATAGTTACTTGTCCTTTGTTGTAGTTATCGTCCCTTGCAGATGACGAAGATTATGTCTTCGCAATTGCGCATGATGTTCACTATTTTGCCATGAACGTACAATATGTTCCCTATCCTTTTGCGACTTCGCAGATGTCCACGATTTTACTGTGTCCACAGAAGACGCTTACAATTTGGCTGTGGTTACAGAATTTGTATAAAAATATTATAGTTTATCAATTAATATATTTTTAATTAATTATTTCCAAAACTACCCGTTTTTTACTTAACCCAAAAGGAATGAAAAATGTCTGACCCAAACCTAAGACCTCTAATATTAGATCTATTGTTAAAAAAATAAATATAGGCCCTACTTATTTATTAGCTGGTTACCTAGGTCTTTTTGCCAGTTGGATTGCTATTGCTGGAGACAAAAGGTCATTTCATCCAGTTGAAGTAATACACGGTGTATTTCTAAACCCTTAAGTTGCAACCTACGAAGAATCAGAACATGTGTCGCCGGGGGCCTCATCAATTCTAAATACGGCCCTGATGAGAGGACCCCTGCACAATTTTATATTACTTTCATAAGTGTTAACATATCTTGTTTTCAATTGGATATCATTACCTGTTTAATATCATAGTTATTCTCATCGCTCACCCATGATAAAGATTGTGACATGCTAATGGGAGAAAGTATGTGTCAGATCGCTGATACCATTTATTTTATATTGCAAATTCAATTTTATTTTCATAATTAACTGGGTTTAATGGATTTGACACTTTACTAACTTTATCATTTATTGTTGAATGGGTTAAATATTTATGAAAAAACATACTTTCTTTTTTCAGATTGATGAAGCACAGAATGCACAAAGCGAAGACGAAGATGACCCCCTCTCCTCCCTCCCAAAAAGACCTAATCTTAGAACTGGAGGTAAATATTTCACCACTTAATGTCCCACCCCTTCATTTGATTGTTATTAGCAAGGACAACTTATTATTTGACATAACATAAGTTTTTTCAGAATTTTAATAGACACCTGACAGTAGGCTATTCTTCAACTACTGAAGGAATTACTTTAACTTACGGTATTTAGTCTATGACAGGGTTGTATAGGTATATTTAATGATGTATCTCATGAAGTTCTCTGTACTGTATTCTGTTTTTAAAGTTACTTAGGCCTACAAACAAAATTACTTTAGCTTTATTACTTTTAGCCAATTTCCAGCAGTCTTCGTGTTTTCTGCGAAGGCTGCAGATATTTACTTCAATATCCAGTAGTAAAAAACAGCTTAAGCCAAATGATTAAAGGCCAAATTTAAGTGACATACCGTGATATCTTACTAATATTATAAATGAGAATGTTTGTGTGTTTGTTTGTTTGAAGTTCAATCACGCAATAACTACCGGATGGATTTGGCTAAAATTTAGCATGATTATAGCTCACATTCCCGATTAAAATATAGGCATATTCTTTTATAAAAAATCCTTTTGGACTCCGCCCCAGTGGCTCTGTGGTTCCCAATGTTAACCTTATTAGTATTCATATTTAAATGGAATAAAAGAATTTAGTCAGCTGTTTCAACTTAAAAAGTTGGTTCTATAGTATGCAAAAGCATTAAAAGTTATAAGATTTACTAACAGGGTGCAGCACTATCACTTTTTTGCATTTATGGAAACAGCTAATTTGAATTCAAGCAACAAAAAACTATGATATGTAATGTGCACTCTCAAAGTAGGATTGTTTACAGTTACTTTTATGTTTTTAACTTCATGAATCATTTTGTGATATTTTGCGAATATTTAATATTTTTATATTTCTCTATTGTTTAGGTGAAGTGGTAGAATATTATGGCTATGGTAGATGTGTAATACTATAGTATAAAGTACCGTAAATATAAAGAAGCAAATTTTATCAAATCGTGTCCCCCCCCCCATTGCAAAAGCAAAGCTTGAGTATAACTACTGCAATAAGCATTTTATACTTATATGCCAATCCCGTACGAAGGACGGGTACTCTGCTAGTACTTTCATAATTTGATCCCTTAAGGCCCCTGTACAGGTAGCTAGTTTACTAGCAGCTAATATTCGCTATTAGCACTAGCTGGGAACACTGGCACAACAAATTCCATCTACACGTTATTAGCGCTTGTTATTAGCACTAGTCATGTAGAAGTGAAGTGTCTATTGGTCGCAGTTATCATTTCAGTTTGCACAAAATGTCTTCTGTTCCTTTAAATTGAAATATTTTGAGACAAATTACAAAAATTGGTACCTATACAAGAGTTGTGTGAACATGAACTTAATAAAAAGAGACTAACTTTGTGGGTTCGATATTTGTAAAAATTGTATGACCCGGTCAACATTCCACTTCAGTTCACTCGTTTTAACTTGACAGACAAACAACAACTGTACTAGCACTGGCGTGTGGCGAGTGGCGAATGGCGATTAGCACTAGCAGAGGTGTAAACACATTGCTAGTAGTGCGCTAATTCGCTAGCGCTAGTGGTCACATGACCACCCCCTCCACTTATGAGCGCTTGTATTACTAAACATGTTCAAAGCGACTAGAATGTTGTGTTGTTCCTTTTCAATATGTTTTTCATGACAACAATTCAGCTCATTTGGCATGCAATGTTATGTTTATCTGCAACAAACATATTTTTTAACACTTACAGTACCATAGTCATGCAACATAAAAATACATCCATACATACAATCACGTTCAAAATATTTGTAGTTTGATGATTTTAATTTGTTCTGAAAGTTTAGGTTTTGTTAAAAAATATGCTTTGTTGCTCAAAGAACACAAAGATGTAGTTTCATAGGTAAACTTAAGTAATTGTTAATTAATTTTTCAGATCCTCATCCAACTTTACATGTAAATTCCAAGAGGAAAGTTGTGGGAAAGTGGGACAAGAATTCAAAAAGAAAGGTTGAAGCTATGCAGAGCATTGCTTCTGCCCTACATAACATCGCCCATCAAATTGGTAGATTGGCAGACGGTTTTGAAACATACAATAATGCCACAATTGGATAAATAATCAAATTTTGTGAACATTTAACCCTTCCCGGTCGGGTGACGGATATATCCGCCTAAGTCTTTGGCGATAAAGGACAGGTGTCGGATATATCCGCTTATGGTTTTTGATGTTCCGGACGGGAAGCGGATATTTCCGCCTTCTCTTCAGACAGACAGACTCTTCAGACAGGTGCTTTTTGCGGTATCAAGGCGCCACTTTCCTGCTTTCTCCATGGCTGCGCTCACTCCCGCACTCCCCCCTCTCTCCCGCGCCTACGCCTCTCCCACGCCTCCCCCTCTCCCGCGCACCCCCAACCTCTCCTAGCCCCCCCCCCCTTGACGTTTTGCGCTTAATACTACATTGTCTTTAATTATAGTTTACATACCGTATTGTTCTTTATTTATTGCCTAACGTTGTCTTTGTAATTTCTTTAAAGACGGGTGGCGGATATATCCGCTGCTTTTCTACTCATACGCGGATGGGTAGGGGATATATCCGCATAGTTATAAACGAGTTAAAAATTATTTTGACAGTATAAAGTGTTCCATTGTGTTTATTTTATGTATACTTATAACAAAACACAAAAAAGGAAAATTAGTTTTTATTTTTTCCTATACCTTATTTTTTCCCGTTCTATGTTACGATTTCTCCCGTCCGGGAAGGGTTAACACATTGTGTGTCACGTGTGTTTTTTATAGATAGGCTTAACATTTTTGTTAAGTAGTCTATTAGTTAAGTTCGTTGATTTAATTATGAAAGGTTTTAGAGAAGTTAACTTTATTGATTTGTGTAAATAAAACTTTTTGAATGAAAGAATGTGTATAACTGACTTATATTTCCTATTCCATTTTCATCCTTATGTATATTTTTTCTCTGCCAATTTGTGCATTAAAATCGCCAAGTAAAACCTTTTTTGTCATCTTTTGGAAACTTGGCTATTACGAGTATATTCTCCAAGTTTTCCCACAACGGTTCTGTTTGTATAAGATTTTTCTTATTGTCTCCATTTGTAGGAGCATCCATGGACATTAATCATTGTTTTTTTTTTTTTTTTTTTTTAGCACACTGAAATCACACCCCCATAAACCATATACTTGAAATGTTTGTCATGACGAGATACCTTGCGCAAAATTATCCATTTCATGAATCTCCCTTTAAGGTCGTAATTCCAGGGAACTGTCCATATACCTAATGTTAAACAGTACCTCAGCTGTACTTATTTGTATGTTATTCTTTCAATTCATTAAAATCAGGTGTGATTATTTGTTTGTATTACTGTATTCTGTTTTGTTTATTCGAGCCTTACCTTAACCAATCAATAGTTTTATTATGAAGTCAAACGGAGTGAAGCCCGTGGGTAACAGTCATCGATGTCTATTTGGTAACAGCTCTAGTGTACAATAAATGCCATACTGTGATGAGGATAGTGATGGGGCATTCGAATACAGAATCGAATACTTATTCGAATACAACCAAGGTATTCAAAGATTCGAATACTTCTGGCTGTATTCGAATATTGACATTCGGCTGGGTTCAATAATACTTTGAAGCCAAACCAATCTAGTTTGAATAGCCAGAATGAATGAATTCGAATTCGGCCGATGTGTTCAGAGTTTGAATACACTGAATACTAGTGTTATGAATACCTTTTGCTTAATTCACAACAACAACTAATACGTTTAGGTACTTGGAATGGAATCTTCACTGTATCCGACTCAGGAGAGATCAATAAATTGTCTCCTTAAAATGTTAAATTTGGAAAATACCAGCATTTATTAATTATGTTATAAAATAATTCAATGAAATAACAAATAGCACTGTTTTAAAATTAAAATTCACTTCTCACTAAATCTATAACGAATATAATGAATACTTTTGTCTAGTTATTTCACAATATAAAATGATTCATTACCTAATTGAGTGAGAGAGAACAATAATCTATTTAATTTAGGTTTTAGTTTGTTTGAAATTTAACCTATATAAGTTAGAGAAGAACTGAACTATATTTATTTTCATTTAAATGTATTTAGACATGAATGGCAACAATGCTTTGATTTACAATAGACTTGGGAAAATTGAAATTGCCATATTGGTTTATTCACACCATGTAGCCATACAAGTATTCGAATAATTATTCGAATAATTCTAAGTATTCGAACACATGTATTCGAATAATTCTAAGTATTCGAACACATGTATTCGAATTCTCAAAAGTATTCGATTATCCCATTACTAGATGAGGAGCTCATCTTCCAATTTGTTTTTCTGTCTTGCTTTTAAAAATTCTATAATTTTCATAATCAGCTGTATCTTCATCTGTAAAACTGTTTCTTGTAAAGCCAAAATAGCTATCTTTTGTTCGTCAAGTTCTGTAGTAAGGTTTACAAGTTTTCCTGGTTTGATTATCTGGGGTTTGTAAGTTGCCAGAGAACTTTGACTTTCTCTGAAAGGATCATGTAAGTCCAGGTTCCCCAGAATCCGAATTCCTGGTTGCCATCATTTGATGGGTGGATTCTGGATTCGTTACCACCTGGGGTATTATTGTCATTACTTCCACGAGTCATAATTGCTTGTCATCTAGAAGGTCCAGTTTTTCTACTGGGTGTTTATAGAACCAGGAATTGTTAGTTCCTGGAGCATTGTAAACAGCCCACATTCTGTGAACTGAACCGACGCTGACTAAAAGATGCCAGATTATTGTAATTACAGCACCTACTTGCCATGACACAGCAACATCTTAGGGCACAGTGGTTTTTGATGAGTGTGACCCTCACCAGAAAGTAACCCACGTGATGCTGCCGCCTCGGTCCAGGACTGCTTATTCAGGTTGTCCCTTATTCGCAGCGTTCCACCGGAGCATTCGCCATCCGCCACCTGCTACCCACCCTGTACCTGTGGCTCGGATAGGGCAAATATATAATATTCCTGTATGAATTTGAACAGAGGGTGTTTTTGGCCTCAAAACGGAAAAAGTAAATCGGGCCCAGGTCTAGGTCTAACCATGAGACTGGTCAGCCTATTCCCTATATGGGAAATTTGCTAAAAGCGAATTTTTGACTGTCTCTATAAATTGCAAAACAAACATAAACTTAACTATAACCCTTCATAATCAAGGGTCAGAACTTCATAGTCAGAACCATTTAGTTTTTCTCAGGGGAATTTATATTTATACTAGCTTGTACCCGCGGGCTTTGCCCCGTTTAATTTCTTAATTTTCAAGATTATCTCGTTCGCATGGCTCAATCACGTCCTGGTTGAAATTTGTTCGCTACGCTCACTCACCTTTAGGTTGGAGCTCGTTCGCTGCGCTCACTTGTCTTCAGGTTAGCTCGTTCGCTACGGTAACTCGCCTCCAGGTTGAAGTTCGTTCGCTACGCTCACTCACCTTTTGGTTGCAAATTAGCTGTTGTCATAAATGTAAAAGAAATAATAGTGCTGCCCTGTTGGTAATCCTTGTAACTTTAATGCTATTGAACATCATAGAACAGAACCAACTTGTTTAACTGAAACAGCTGTTAAGATTCAATAATTCCATTTCTCATAAGGTTAACATGGGAAACTCCAGAGCCACTGGGGCGGAGCCCGAAAGGATTTTTGAAATAAGAATATGCCTATATGTTAATCGGGAATGTGAGCTATCATCATGCCAAATTTCAGCCCAATCCGACCAGTATTTTTCGAGTTTACTTTTCCCATACACACATACAGCAACCACCTCTTTTTTATAATAGTACTAGCAGAGTACCCGTCCTTCGTACGGGGTTGGCATATAAGTATCAAATGCTTATAGCAGTTATGAGTGAGGACATGGTTTAAGAAATTTCGGTTCTTTTTGAAGTTCGTTCGCTACGCTCACTCACCTTTGGGTTGGAGCTCGTTCGCTGCGCTCACTTTCCTTCAGGTTAGCTCGTTCGCTACGCTCAATTGCCTTCAGGTTAGCTCGTTCGCTACGCTCACTCGCCTCCAGGTTGAAGTTTGTTCGCTACGCTCACTCACCTTTTGCTGTTGTCATAAATGTAAAAAAGAAATAATAGTGCTAGTGCTGCACCCTGTTGGTAATCCTTGTAACTTAAATGCTATTGAACATCACAGAACAGAACCAACTTGTTTAATTGAAACAGCTGTTAAGATTCAATAATTTCATTTCTCATAAGGTTAACATGGGAAACTCTAGAGCCACTGGGGCGGAGCCCGAAAGGATTTTTGGGATAAAAATATGCCTATATGTTAATCGGGAATGTGAGCTATCATCATGCCAAATTTCAGCCCGATCCGACCAGTAGTTTTCGCGTTTACTTTTCCCATACACACACACAGACACCACCTCTTTTTTATAATAGTATAGATAGATAGATAAAAGTATGCGATATCGCCAGCTGGCAGTTTAAAGAGCACTTCTTTCTAGGAACGGATTAAACATATAGTCCAACCCCTTCCCCGTACATATTTTAATCAAATTTAACCAGTTGGAGTCAGCTTCAGTTCCGTGTGCCACTGCTAGCGCTAGCACTACACTGTTACAACGTACTAAGGTTCCTGAAATGTGGGAGTTCAGTGATTCACCTCACCTGGGTGTTGCCTTTGTTTTCTATATATTTTTATAAATATGTCAAGTGATCTGAATCGAATACTCTTAATCGCTTCTTCTATCCTACTAAATATAACAATAATAATATAACATCGCATGGCAAAAATTGTGAGTACAAAAATTATGAGTACACACGTTCCTATAAATAGTATTATGTCTAGTAATTCGTACAGTCTTAAAAAATACAGATTTATTAATTAACCTTGTACAACCGCATACAAGGGGACGATACTTTATCCTTGGACATTGATTTACATAATCAATTTTTGCCGTAAAAATAAATAAATCATTGGCAACTGACATAACACACACTACGCCCAAGGCCTGTCCCAGCATAACGTTACCATAGAAACCAAACCAATTTCATTTCTTCAGTCAGTGCAGTGATTCAGTGAATTCAGTCCAGCTTGAATTCGGATCGTTGGTGTTCTGGTTCTGCGCGTTCTGTTCTGCCTTTCTGGTTCAGGTTCAGTTTTGTTTTGTTTTCATTTCACTTCAGTTCAGTGTTCAGTGTTATTGTGTGTGTGTTTGTGTTAGTGTTTTGGTTTTGGTTATGCGTTGTTTGTCGTCAGACAGAAGTCTTTCAGTATTCATGTGCAATTTATTCATAAATTGACGTAAACTGTATGACATTCGTGTAAATAAGGTCAAATTAACTCTAAGTAGTTTTAAAAACTGATTTTCTTGACTTGGTTGACAGTGACACTTTTTAATTTGATCTCTTTAAAAACCTGTTGCTGTTTCAACCCCAACCTTAAGCGGGCTATCCTTATAAATTACCTCTGGAATGAAAATTAACTCGTTTGTTCTTTAAAACTTTGAAAATGACAGAATTAAAAATGAAACCCAACAGTGATTCAAAAATTATAGGATACTGGATGTCTGATAAGAAGAGTCAGAAACTGAAATGGACAGAATTTGCCAGTGTTTGTAGGTAAGTGATTTCTTTGATCAGACTGTAGAACACTATTCTCCAGTTAAGTTTCACGCAGAGGATACACGTCATCTGGTAACTGAACGTGGTGTCCGGCAGTGATGTCACCGGGTTGCTGGGGCCCGGAACACTATGAATACACCGAGCAGCCATAGGTGTTCGTGGTGTAGTGGTTAGAGTACTCAGCTGATGTATTTATTCACAACGAACCCCAACTAATATTTAAACTTAAGTTACAGTACCTATTGTAGGGCCTAGATGGAATCCTATCGGTGACACTAACTTTTTGTCAAAGATTTTGCTTAGAATGCCGTTTCTTTTCAACTGTAGCCTACATCTTTTGTTAGAATTTGAGGTATTTTAGGCTAATCCATGCCCGGTTACCGGACGTGTATCCTCTGCCTAAGTTGTAAGTGTCTGGTCTCCATCTCGTCTCCACATATTTCGCATATGGACAGTAGACTCCCCTCTTATTTGTTCACCTTTTAACTGGACATCGGTTTAACCGGACTACACTCGGCGAAAATGACATCTCTTTAACCGGTCAATTTTTATCAGCACATTGGTTTAACCGGACTAGATCGGCAGGAAGTGGGCAGTACTGAGACGACTGTTCTCGTGGGAAAGATTTGAGACCAGTGATCAAGTGTCTAAATACCGTACTTAATGCTCTCATAAATTTAAGTCGAATATCACATTAAACAGTCTGTTTTAACGAGTTTTTGCGGACGTCGGTTAAGCCGGAAAACCCCTTTATCCGGACTGGCCTCGGTCCCGAGAAGTCCGGACAAGAGGAGAAAGAGTCTAGGCTACTGTAGCTGGTTTTGGAATCAAAATTTCTTCTTTGAGAAAATCACTGCAATTTCATAATTTTTGACCCTCACGAACGTCATACAGCTGGCCTAACTTAAGGGTCCGCAGGACATCGATTTGGAAATCTCAGCTCGGGCTTCAGTATAGCTATGTTGCGCCATTGAACAGCGCCGCGAGAATCGCTTGCAGACGTCCACGGCAACTGCCTATTTGTGAACTAGGCCTACCCATACATGCTAGTAAAAAAACAATGAGTAGGGTTTTACAGAACAAAGAACAATATATGCGTCTCTGGTTTTAGAATTTTAAGTAACAATTCTAATTAGTTAAAGCAGTTTAAAATTGCCATTTTTTGTCTACATTCAAAGAAGATTTTCAGGCTTTATGGTATGATATTAAAAATATTGAAACCACAACACTCTAGATAATTTAATCCTCTCCAAATCTTTTTTTTATTTTAAAAATACCTATTAAAAAAAAAACTTTTTGTCTTAGGATGCTAGGCATGAGCCCGGGATGGTTTTTTCACATTACTTTAGGCTAGACTTAAGGGCTGCAGCATTATCAATTAAATATTTTTGAAAATCCATTTGTGATTTGGCGTGGTTGGAATACAAATTTTGGTTTTGGATTAAGCAGACTTTTGGATTACCGGTACCGAAGTTCGGATTATCGGGACTTCACTGTATATATCAATTAACCTAGGCCAAAGTTAGCTTATATATAAATTTTTAATTAGGCCTATAAACAATCGATTTTGAAATTGTTTTGTTTAGCCTAGGCCTGGACCTCTTTGTACAAAGTTAATGCTTGTCGTCTTAGGTGTCTTCTTCTTCCCTAGACGACCCTTCAAATCATTCATGTTTGTGTTAGTATTCAATTTCAATTTACTTACTTAACTTAACACAGTAACTTAATGGTGAAAGGGACAATCAGACAAGAGGCATTTCAGTTATAAAATTCAAACAATCGTGTGTAGTTTATTCAGTGTTTGTGACAGCTCAGAAACATTTTTGCATAATTTTTTGTTCAGAAAAAATTTAGTTTTTTAATGATTTACGATAGGTTCCCTTGAACAATACAGATAATTTCCCCACTTAAAACTTATAAAAAAAATTATCGGTTAAGTTATTTGTAGGCCTAAATGCAACTGAACAGATTATTGTTAACTAACTTAAAACCGGGGTGAAGATGAACAAAACTCGGAAAATGTTTATTATATATTTTTTTTTTTAAGAAATCATAAAAAATGAAATAAATAAAACATATTTTATGAATCAGCATCTTTTTGTCTACATAAAACACAACGATCATAACCCCATTGGCGTGTTAAAAAAAAATTATTTTAAGCGACCGTGTTTTTTTGTAAAAAAATTATGTCTCCCTAAATCCATGTTTAATAGACAATTTGTCAAAAAACCAAAAAAATTATATAAAAAAAAATTTTAACCTTAAAATAACTTTATTAGGCCTATGTTCAGTTTTTTGTGCTCTCTTCAGATGTGGGGTGAAAATGAACACTAGAGCAAGGCCTAATGCAAAATGTATTTACAAGGTGTTCATCTTGACCCCAAACCCAGGGTGAACATGAACAGGTATAATTTATTTTTTTAAGTTAGATTTTTGTGTTAAATTTTTTTTAACTTAAGTTATTATATTACCATAAGTCAAATACAATATAATGATATCTTATTTAACAAGAAAGTTATTCAAGAAAAACCTAGAAAAAGTGTTCATCTTCACCCCGGTTTTCGGTAATCAATTATTTTTTAGACATGTGAGGTAGGCAGGTTGGATGTTTTTTGGATTTGTGACTGTACAGTAGACTCCCTCTTATCCGGACTCCTAGGGATCGAGGCCAGTCCGAATAACTGGTTTTCCGGTTAAAGCAACGTCCCCGAAAACTCGTTATGTAACCCAAATAATTTGACTTAAATTTAGGAGAGCATTGTATTTAGACACGTGATCACAGGTCTCAAATCTTTCCCACGAGAACAGTCGTTTCAGTACAGCCCACTTCCTGCCAATCTTGTCCAGTTAAACCAATGTGCAGATAAGAATTGTCCGGTTAAAGAGATGTAATTTCTGCCGAGTGATGTCCGGTTAAAAAGTGTCCGGATAAGAGGGGGTCTACTGGTAATACACAGTATTACCCCATTACACAGTAGGCCTATTACACAGTAATACCCTAGTAATACAGTTGTATTAGGTAAGTGTTTTGAGAAGTTAGGTTAAGTTAGATTAGAAAGGTACCGTAAAATTTAAGTTTAAATACGGTTACTTAAGTTAGGTTATAACAAATCGAGTTGTTGATTAAGTTATGTTATCTCTATGTTTGTGCACATTTGAAATAGCCTAGGTAAGTTAGTGCTTTAACACAATAAATACTAATTAAAAAAATGCTTGAATACATTTCATTAATAACAAAATGTTTAGGCTAGGCCTAAGTTTTTTTAAACTGTAAGGTAAAGTGTATGCTGTGACGCACACAACACAAGGCTAGTTTCATGGTGCAAGACACACATTGCACAAATATTCAACCAGCGCTTTTTGTTGCGAAGCTCAAACACTTTCCTCAAAGATCGACAATTGTTGCCTAACTTATTTTATATTGAATATAGAAAGGTTAGCGCTCGTGTAGACATTTAGCAGCGATTTTTCTAAACTCTAGACCTCTCCAGTTGTCGGTACGGTAATGCAGTGTCGGGGGCGGTTGTGCACTAAGATCAATAATATTTTAAGTTAAAATTATTGGGACATTCTTTTTTATCACCATGCATAATTTAGAAGTGAAGGTTTGATATAATAATCAATAGGTAGCCATAGCCTAAGTATTGTAAGTTAGGCCTTAGTGTAACATTTCCAAAATTAATTTGATTTTCTGTTTTTTTTTTTCAGGAAACACGGCTTCTCATTAGTCAAGGTAAGATAATTACTGTACATTTCTTTTAGCAGATTTCCCTATAGGGAAGTAGACATTACCGTAGTTGGCATGGTAATACCTAGACCCCCCGGGACCTTTGATTTCCCCAGAGGCCAAAAACACTCTTTGTTAAAAGTTTTATTTATATATAGGCTATACAGGGTTAATAAAAACTCTCAAGACCCCCTGTTAATTTTTAACTGCCCAAACTACAAAAACTAAACTCTGCACACCTTTATGACATGTTATGAACTACTTTTGGGGCATAACCGCCACTTCGTGTACATCCCCAAAATGGGGGTTTTTGGTGGAAACTCAAAAATTTCAAACTGTAAGACCCATTGAGTGACCCCTTATTTTGAAGGTCAAGATAAAAGAAAACTAACAATGCAAATTAGATGTCTCTATCTTAACACAGTAAGATATGGCAGTCAATTGAAACCTTAGTCTAAATTCTATTTTTTGCCAGGTTTTCTGCGGCAGGGACATTTAAAATACTGAAACTTTCTCAATATAATTTCACCAATTTTTACTTAACGTTTATTTACAGTGCAGTGCTATGAAATGGTGGGAGGGATGCTGGCACTTCAAACAGCTAAACTATATAGGAGCTATAGGCTATAGGAGCTTTAAACCTGGAATTAAAAAATTAATGACTGTGCAGAAGATTCACGATAAGGAAACCATTGCAATGTTAATTAATTATTTTTACTCATCAGGCATCCAGACATGGTTTACTTATTGGGGTCTATTGTTTTCAATAATTAAATAATAAAATGTGAAGCATCTAGATGTTTTGTACAAAATTGAATGTTTTCAGATTAACCTCGACCTACCGCTAGAGTCTCAGGGACCATTCGCTGTCATTGTTCACAAGCTTTCTGACATCATTGTTCAAACGTTCCACGGAAATACTAAGGTAGCCTAAGTTATGGTTACCAATATGACAAGTTAGTTATTGTATAGTGGTTCTTTTGTTACTTATTGGTTACTAAGTAAAGAGCAGCCTACTTTTTCAAGGCTTCCCTTTTACACAAAGCTATTAATTAAGCTAAATATGTTCCAACTACGTTAAGATCCATATTGTAACGTTGTACATTAAAACTAATAGATTTTTAAGGTCATTTTCTCCTTCCTCAAGACTACAATTTAGTGAAAATTACTTTAGATTGGTTGTAAGATTTTAAATGAGGAAACAGACAAGTTTTGCAATATGATTTGGTGGTTAAAAACTATAAATGTTGTAGCAGACTGAAATTGTATCAATTTATCATTGTAGGAAAATTTTATATCCCAAATGATTATATTTTTATTATCAATGTTTTAGTTACACAATGAAATATGGTATCCATTTATCAAATGTAGGAAATAGTTTAAATTCCAAGTGATCATATGTGTTATTTTATAAAGCTGTTACTTAGGAATTTATTTTATCAAAATCAGCTAACACCAATGAATAACTGTCCCAAGTAATCTTGTGGTTTCCCAATGCCACAATAAGGTCATATTATGGTGGACTCAGTTTCTTTTATCGTTTGCTTTGACTAACAAAATCTTACATTTTTACACATATTTGTTGCAGATTCAACATCAATACTCAATTGTATTTCACATTTAAAATCATTTACATTAAGCTACTATTGCCAGGCATTAGTTGTCAATGTTTATTAAGAACTAAAAAGTAACATGTATGCAACAATCGGTCCAACAAAAAACTAACTAGGTGGCAAAATTGAACAGAGTTTTCAGGGCATTGTATTATTATTGACCCCATCATCAAGCTTCAGAATTATTTTTATCTAGAATTTTAGATGGAGACAATATTTAGATTTAGACATAAAATATTGGGGTGATTAAAATAATGTGCAAAAAGCAGGCTACTATTTGTTTGAAAATAGGGTTTAAAAAATTTTTTTGGATTGGACTGTTTTGTAGATTTTTGATGCAGCAGTTTATTTAAAATTTTTACATATATTGTGGCTGTTAAAAAGTCTGTTAATGGATAATTTTAAGTTCTGTCGATTCCTAGTTCAACAGAAATAATTGTTTAAAAAAAATTTTAATTTAGTTTTGAAAATTTAAAATTATTGTTCCTAATATGTAGGTACATAGATGTACATGCAATTATGTACATCGATTGTACATAGATGTATAGGTACTGTTCTGATTTATATTATTACCCATCTAAATTTGTTTGATCTTAGGCGATGGCAATGATAGAAAATGTCGAGTCTTACATGAAAAACCACCCCGAAGTGGCAGTAATTGACCCGTTAAACAACGTCCGTAAGCTGCTTGACAGATATGTCGCCTACAGAATCATCCACGACTGTAACTTGGAAGATATTGGTGAGCAACTCGTCTAAACTTAGTTTACTAGTAGAAGTCATAAACTGATAATTAAGTTCTAAACCGTCTGATGGGTTTTTTCTGAGTCGGTTTGTTGTTTTATTTTAGCTGTATGTTTTTGAACTTTGAACAATCTGGGATTTAGGTGAGTTACGGTCAAATGTCGACTAATTCATAAACCTCACTGACAAAATCATATTGGTTGTAGTGGACAAATTTACTTAAGATATTGAAGTAGACACTCATCTATGCAGACCAACTAGCTAGCTTTAGCTAGTTTTAACTCTTCAAAATAAACATTAGTTAAAGTCGACTCTTTTAAGTACTATTTTATATTTAAGTTTTTTACACTTTGATAGTCGATGAAGATGTTTAAATAAGTCTTAGTTTATGATATATTTAGGGTGTGGTGTAAAGCCAATTATAGTGGTATGAGGGTTGCTCATGTCACTGGTTTAATCATCGAAAGTCAGTAACTTTTAATGGTTTAGAAATGGACCCAGCCACGTGTGATCATTGGACTTAAATGGTCCTGAGTAATGAAACCGTTGCTCTTGGTCTGTAGCAAAGCTACTCAAGGCATCTCACTACATTCTACACCCACCCTTCATTCATATTCAAGTTAAAATATCCACTGTGTTTCTGACAATGCAATGATAAAAGTGATACTTTATTTGGATTTAGAAAAGTTATCAAATTTTTCCACTCTAGTTTTAAAGCCAAATTAAAAAAGAACTAAATCATTAAACGAGCAAAATAGTATAACTTATTTATAAAGATATAAATAGATGCAATCCATTTGTGTGACGCAAGTTTCAATAATAGATGCAAGTCATGTCCACAAGTCATGTTTAGCTGACAGAAGCAATAATATTGATCCGCGTGTGGAATATAGATGTTAGGGTTTAGCAAACTGTTTGTGGTACTCGTCCAAACTCACGGAAAAATCCTCGGTTCTATTTTTAACTGTGTAACACAACTGGGTGATGAATTGGTTGTATGTGTGTGGGATTCCCTGTTCCACTCGTGAGTTGGGCTAAACAATTGTTTAGACCTGTAACACTGTATTTTTGCAGTTCATTGTGAACTGTAGCATATTTTATGATTGGATTGGTTATCGTAGTGTAACAAACCAACAGAAAAAATAGGACATATAGCATCATTATACAGGTCTAACCATATTAAGCTTTTAATTCAAATGGACCTAGCTACAACATATGTGATCTAGTACATTCATATCACTTTTTCATTATTCTCTGATAGTCAAGTGGTTTATCTAAAGACCACTGGGTTTGATTCCAAGCAAGATCAACTAGACCCAGTTGCCATTTTGTCATTGGATCATTAATATTGATTCTATCTTTAAAATTATTGCTCAATGTTTAGAAAATAAAAAGACCAGAATTTTGATTGTTCTCTTAAAAAAAAATTAAAAAAATGCTACACGAAGTAGATGTGTAAAAATTAAACACTCGTCCTTGTTGCTCTTTGTCAGTTTACTGTCATATAAGGCCCAGTTTTAGTTAATCTATCAGGGTGTTACAACATTTAAATGTGTGTAGTAGAAATACACACAATAGCTGATTAAATACTTTTGTCTCAAATGTTATGTAATATTTTTGCATTGATATAATAACTTTCTTTAGCATCCTGATCAACAGTCCTACAAAAGAAAGGATATAAAAAACTATGATAACTTGCATTTTTAAAATATCAAATTATCATCAATTTTGTTTCCCTTCAACATTAATTTGTTTTTTATTGTTAAACTCAATAACATTCCAAACAACTCCTTATTAAGATAAAATGTGTGTAGTACTCCTTGATCAATACGGGCCCCTCCATGACAACAAATTGTTTTAAATGAGTTTTTGGCCGCTTGTCAACTTGTTCCTTCAAGGTCAACCAAGTGCTAATGTCAAACAGCCTGACTCATCTATTAGGCCGGTGTCCTTGTGGGTGCGAGTCATTGTAGTAGAATCTGGTTGCCTTTCAGATCTATTTTTGGGATCAGACTTTTCATGTCATTTTACAATGTGTTTGTAAATTTGTTTTTTTTATGAACAACTTTCTAGACTATAACTAAACATATTTGTAGTAGGATATAAAAACTATGGATTTTGTTTTATCAAAACTGTTGTGATTATTAAAGTATGTTTTTCCAGTTCCCAAATTGATTTGTTTCATAAGATCCAGCTTTTAAAAAGTAGTTGGATTTCAACTTTGAAAATAAATTGCACTAACTCCACCTTAATAAATTCTGTGTCTTTTTGGAAATGGATTTTTTTTCAAGTGTTCCTCATTAGGGTGTCCTTATGAACACTTCACATACACTTCCCTACACTTCCATGTATTAAGACATGATTTATTAGCTACAACATTAGTGTACAATACTGCAAATACTTTGATTGGGAGTAGAATAAAAATTAACAAACAGAAGGATGAAAATAACTGTACAAAATCAACCCTCCCCTTGTACTTTGAGGCATATAATCATATGCTGTCATAAGGAATACCATAAGGTGAAACATAGATGTGTTAGGTGTGTTGGTGTACCTTCGTGGTGGTAGATAACAGATATTTACAGTATTAAGCGGTACTTACTTAATTACTAAGGTAATTAACTTGTACTTGCTTGTAAAAGCTCAGTTATTTGAGTAACTAATATTAAGCTGATTTATACTCATAATGATAAAAGTAGGCTAACTGTCATCCATATTTCACTTGGAAGAAACCAAAAGTAATAATCCATCACCTTTTTCATTACAGTATCCAAATAAACTTGCCATGGCAAGATCAGATAAAAGATGAAGGTTGTATAACACAGAACTATTAGAATGTTGTTGAAAATCATTTATAATATAGGTAATTGCAAATTTTAAAACATGCTATTAATAATTAATTACATAATAAGTGGACTTATATAGAAACCTTTTTCATTTTAAGGTCAAAAACAAAATAAAATAAAATCACTAATTTTGTAAGAGTAAAACATGCTCACCAAGCCTCTGGTCTCCATTTACAATGATGTGGGGAGTTTAGTAGCAGCGACGTAAGTATAAGGAGTTAACAAATTGTTTGGTTTTTTTTTTCTATGCTGGTGTGCATTGCGCAACTTCAGATGGAAAGTACAGTCTAGTGAGGGGCTTGAACCACATCGTGTATCTTCTGCGTAAAGTCAGGCAACAAATGGGGTTGTCTGTGCTTAGTAATTGTTTAAAAATAGGTTTGTGATTCCTTAATATTCAAGCAGCATTCTAGGGAAGGTCAGACCGAAGATTGGACAATTTAGATTCAACTGTAATAAAAAAAACTGCTGAAATCTTCTAACGCTGATGTGTCTGAATGTTTTGTTTCTTCATGTTTAGGCGTATTCACACCTGCATTTGTAGAATTGACAAGTGACGATGTCCGCACGAATAGTCTCAGACTAAAGAGCTCCGGCGTCAAGTATCCTTTCGGTGAGTGATTTTAGCAATGTTTGCAGTTTCACTTTAGTGGTACATAGTAGATAGTACAAACTGATGTAATTAAATATTCAAAGATACAGTAAACTTAAATATTTGATTTATTTGCTGAAATGATGAGAAAAAACTACCCTTTCATTAGTCGTAAAGTTCTATTAATACCACATAACTTTTTTTGCTTTTGTGATTTTTCCTCTCTCCGTGTAGGTACCATAAGTTTTGAAGAAGATGAAAGAAAATAAACATTTCCATACTTCAAAATATTATATCCACAATAGTAGTTTTCATTACTGGTCTCAAATGTGACTTATTGCGGGGAGGGATTGCATTTACGCGCGAGGCGAAGCGGAGTGTGGAAAAAGCTATCGAGCCCCGCAATGGCACTTTTGAGACGAGTATTGAACATTATTTTTCATTACGATATCAAAAAACTTGAAAACAACATGAATATTTTTGTTAGTTCATCTTATTATAAAAAAAAACCAAACTCATAACGCTAAGTTCCTGTGCTTATGTCAAGTTACATACACACGAAAACTCAGTGTTATGCATCAGCTGATCGGTCTGCACCGCAAAATCCCATAACGGTTACTTTCCGTGCACCACAAATACACAAAAAGTTAACCTTATGTAATTTTGCCGTGCAGTAACAGGAATAACCTATTTTGTTAGCTTATTTCACGTTTTGAAAGTGTACTTTTGTGTGTAGAGTAATTAAAATTCTGATCTGTATTTAATGAAATGTAAGTGTTGTACAATACTAGAAGTGGAAGAAAATTGTTTTATCTTTTTCAGAAGTCGAAAAATTTGAGAAAAATCTCTTATGTCCAGGTCTATAGCTATACAAATATTTGCCAGACAAATTTCATTAATTGGCTGTAAATGTTTATAAAATCTCAATCAAGGGAACTCAACTAGAAAGGGGTTTGTTATTGCCTAAGACTACCCTGCGGACACCTCCCTTGATATTATATTGTAGTTTTTATTTCACTCAAATTTGGCTTAGACCTATGTGTTTCAACTTGTTTTCAATTAATTGTTGAGATATGATAAATTAGCAAAACTAATGTTTCTACGCAAAAGAAAATTTATATAAAATTTTTTGACAAAAGTATCTTTTTCGATGATGATCGCCTCAAAACAACTCGAGAATATTTAAATTATCAAACCATGTTTGAAACATGTATGGAATGTGGCCTTGATATTGTATTTAAATGTTCTTCGCAGTTTCAGTTGACAGTAAGATATGGAGGTGATGCCAGCCACAATTTAGACTTGGTGGCCTTGACCTAACCAGCTGTAGCCTTGAGAGAATTCTCAAATGAGAGATGTTTGTTTGCTTGCTAAAAAAAGTTGTGTTTTTTTCAGTATGCAAAACTTCTATTGCCCAAGGGAAGAGCGATTGTCATAAGGTGAGATTATGTTGATATTTTGCTGGTTTAGTGGTTAAGATGTTGGTTTTTTTGTGTGGAGTGATGTCTTTATAGTGGATTTGATATATAAATCAATCAATAATAATAATTTTTCATTTAAGATTTGTTGCATGGATTGAATTATTAATTATTGTAATCCATGGTGATGGTTTTCGGCGTAAACCGCGTCGTCAGTTGTATATCACTGCCAGACGTTTCGCCCTTACTATGAAGTGGCATCCTCAGTGGCTAGGCTGAGACTAAGTCAGAGAAGTCCGTCCAGGTATACTATATAGCTGGGGTGAGGTCATTGGCGTGCGCGTGGAATGCAGGAATGCATACTCCCCTTGCTCTGGCTGTTTCTAGTAGTTTCTAGTAAACAAGGTGACGTAATACCGGATTCCATGACTGTGGAAGCTTGTAGTTGTCATCTTTATTGAAATTATCTGGATGTTTTTGATTTCAATAGCTTCTTTGATTTTTCTATGGTAGAAATAAGGTTCTTTAGCGAGTACTTTAACTTTGTCAAATTCTATGGCGTGTTTCGTTGTAAAACTGTGTTCTGCTACTGCCGATTTTTCAATATTTTCCTGTTTTGTCTGGCGAATGTGTTCTTTCAATCTAGTTGAAATCATCCGTTTGGTTTCTCCGATGTAAACTTTTCCACAGGAACAAGGAATCTTGTATACACCCGGTGCACTTAGGGGTAATTTGTCTTTTCCATTGGGTAGGAGTGAGCTAATTTTTCTCAGAGGCCTATATACTGGTGTGATGTCGTATTTTTTGAGAATCCTGCCAATCTTCTCCGATGTCCCTTTCACATAAGGAAGATACGAATTGTGTTTTCTCCTACTGTTGTCACTGACTTTTTGTTTATCGGTTGCTGCTACTTGTGCTAGCCTACAATCCTGTCTCTTAAAAGCTCTCTTAATATCCTTTTTACTATAACCGTTGCTTAAGAGGGCCGAAGTTATAATTTTTTCTTCACTAATCCAATCAATCAATATCAATTATTGTATTTACTTGTGTCTTACTCTTAAATCTAAAAGTAAATATTATAAATGTTTAACCAAATCATCAGTTATTGTTATTAATTAGACATTCACAATCGTGCAATAGACATGGTCATGTGGTTTTACAGATAAAATTAACATTTGTTGACTTAAAATTAATAATAAATTTATATAGACAACAGTAAAATTGAATAAACAATAAATTAATATAATCATTATTTTATAATTAATATTAATATTTTATTATTTATATAATTACTAGTTGAGCTATGGACGCCACAAGTAGAAAACTGTTGAAACAAAACATAAATAATTTTATTCAAACACAGCTGCTTTCAAAAGTTCATTTTAACCCACATGGAATGTCCGATGCGTGGAGAGTCGTTGAGTAACATATTGATATATATATTTTTATAAAAGTAACTTTTAGTGAATCAAAGTAAAGTTTATATTTTAAAACTAAGTGTTAACAATTAATCTTTAACTATCAATGGTGGGTGTGTAATGGTTTTACAATAGCTTAAAGCCCGTTTTCTTCTCTTATGTGCTCATACCTAGTTGCAAAGCCTATACTTTATTCTGAAATGGCGACCACAGGATGAAGGTATTTTAAGCCAAGTATGAAAGGAGATGAGTGTAGGATGAGTGGCACGATCTTGTAGTCTTGTTAGTCACTAAGGTAACGCTATTGTATAGGTTTATTGTATAGGTAACGCTACTCATAGCTCATAAAAAAAGAAGAAAAATAATCCAGTTGTCTTAGTGACATATTTTTCCAATATTGTTAACGAATTGTAAAACACGCACCGTTCTGAATTCTTTGTCGGTGGCGGTAACAAGAATGATTTAGTTATATGAATGCTCTACAAATTGACATGGAATGTCAGACAAGGTTGATGTTTGTTAATATGGAGAGAGAATGTCCAAGCGATATTCTCTAAAGAATTTCTTGATTAAACCAAATGTTACGTGGACGGCCAATATATACTCGACAATATTCAACTTAGAATTTCTCGGTAAAATGAAAAGTAATGTTATTTAGATTTTAATAATCCAACTAGAAGCGTGTGTCACTTTGTGACTTCAAAATCCGTGATGTATTTGAATTAATTTACAATTTTCTATTGCTCTGAGTTAACTTGAAAATTATCTATTTTTTATGTGATAATCATTAACTTATCACCGACTTGTAATTTGTTTAAGCAAACCCTGAAAACAACTTTGTAACCCAATACAATATGAAATCACGCATAAAAAAGTGAAACAAACTTACAATATTTAAAAAGCCAAAATCCTATAAAAACGCAAAATCTAACGCAAGTCATTTTCTTCTTAACATTTTATACAAATAACATTACTGTACAACATTTAACTTGAATGCACTTAAACGTCACCAACTGTAATGTCACAGCTGTGCTGCTGTTGATAAGCCCATTTTCGCATAGTTCATAGTTGTAAACAAAATTGTATCATGGCCATCTGTTTTGATGTAATCAAATGTAAACTTGAAAAAGTCCAGATAATTGACAACAGAATTCAGCACAAACTATGAAATTTTAAAAGCCTTGAAGATGAAGAGCTTTCACAGGATATCATAAAAACTCGCAAAAGGCACATCTAGAGGATAAATATTTAGGGGTCAATTTGCTGAATAGAAAAATCCAACAAATTCTTTTAACAATATAGATAATTGTTTGGGTTTGTTAAGTTGCATTTATTTATACCTTATTGGATGGTAAAAGGTTTACCACTTGAATAAAAATTTAAAATCCTTTTGAAGTGCATATGGGTGTATTTGACCAAGTACAGTTTATGTTGAGAGATTGGCCACTTTCTCTGGGGTCATTGACTCTAGTTTCCTCGTCAACCAGGTGTTTAGTACTTAATAGACTAGATAAAATGCTTCAGTTTCAAATCACAGCTTTTAATATTCATTATTATAAGCAAATAAATAAAAACAATCAAATATTTTCATACTAATGCAAGGTAAAAAAATCTGACCCTTAAATTGTAAAAAAATTATGTATAACATATAAAAATATATATTGATAAATGATTAAATGATTTTATTTCCATCAAAAATTTACAAGGTGAACACTTGTAATATTGGAAATATAACTGACCACTTTAACAAGTTGTGTGGTCAGTGGAAAAAATTAAAATAATCTAAAATTAAACATTAAATCAGCCTAGCTCAACATAAAAAATGACACCTGCTCTCTGTGATGTTTGAATAAATACTTAAACTAATACTTAAACTTAAATTAATACTTAAACTAAAAATCAAAGAAAACCATACTTAATTTAAATTTGTATTAAAACTACATTTAGATTAGGTATTTTCATGGACAACATCATGCATCATGCTATTTCCAAAATTTTATTTTTTTCTTAACCTCATTCCCAATCTAAATAATGAAGTGTACAACAAGGATCATGTAAATAAATGAGTGACCTAAATTGCTTTTGTATAAAAAATGCTAATGCGTTCTGCTAAAGGCTAAATTGCTTGGCTAAATGGATAAATTGTCCCCCTAGCTGTCTTAAACAAACTTGATCATTGAAAGGTAAATTGAATGATTTGTTTTGCCTCAAAAAGTTTTGAGCCCTACTAAAATTCACAATTTGCGCACAGGCATTTTTATGATACAATATATCCGTATGACATTTTATTGTACTTCGATAGGGACATTTGCTTATGTTGAAATTGTGAACGTGCAGAAAAGTAGTTGACAATGGATGACGTGGACGTTAATTACAGAAATGAGTCATTGGTGAAGAAAACTAATCTGACTCGATGACACATCTCTTCCGCTTACAACTACTTAATTACTTGGAGTATGTTTCAACCAAATCATAGTTAAAAAGCAACCAAAACTATATGCTTTTAGATAATAATAAACAAAACACAATATATTAGTTGAGATAGGCCTATACTTATTATATTACTTACAATGTATACAATGTACAAGTAACTAAAAAAAATTAACATATGATGGAATGATAGTCTGATATTATGCAAAATGGTTATAAATACCTGGTGTTGATAGTATCTAAATTCTTGTTTGTTCAAGTTGCTGACCACAGATGCAAACATTTATTTATGCAGATATTTAGATTGTTTTAAAAATTCAAGTAAAATACTCTATCTAATACACCAAGTCAAAAGGTCCGTTTTGTGCCTGTTATATGCTTGGTTTGCCTATGCTTGTATGCTACCAGCCGCCTGTACAGGGCATGTAGCAGTGAGTCGTTGCATGCGTCTGTGTGTGTGTGAGTGTGTGTTGTTGTGCGTGAGTGTGGGTAGAAGATGTATGAATGGTTTCCAAGTCCCAGTGCCTTTCACAGTATTATTAATTGAATGAATTGAATTTCTAAATTTGTGTATATACAATACTTGGTTCATCTAGAAATTATACACTGTGTGTTTCAATCATTACTAGAATAATAATTCCATATTTAAATAAGAAATTTGCTATGATAATAATCTGGTAGAACATAAATATTTGCCTAAAATGTATTTTTGCTTGAATTTTCGTTCCACAAGAAATGTATAAATATGTTGACTGCAAGATAAGAATATCTTTAACCATTACTTTAAAGTGAAGTCATGTTTTCTTATCTTAACTTGGATTGTATACTGTGAAAGGCGAGTGACTTAATTGCCCTACCCACTGGGAAAACTGTAAAATTTAAAACCTGCTATTTTATGGCAATGCTTGGTTTAATTTAAACATATCTCTTTGGTAATTAGTATGAGTTATTTATTTCTACCATTAAAAATGTTCAAGTACTTTTGAAACATTAGATTTTGTATGGATATGAAATAAAAATAAACAGTTCAAGTGTTCAAATAGGTATTCTATGTTAATGCTGTACCTATAAACAAGACTGCAAATTTGTATAAAATATGATGGGCGGAAATTGGTTAAGGTTAAAATAAAAATTTTAATATTATCACTTTTTATTTCAACCAATATGAGAATG